TACTACTGCGCAGCAACATGGCCAGCATGCCATGCAGCCCGTGTACGGCGAATTTCAAGGGGCGGGGAGACGGCTCGCGGGCACATGCCTCGGCATCACGGGCGTCCGCCAGCAGGTCGCACAAAAGCGGCGCCGTGCCGTCACGGAGCGTTTGGCGGAGGATGCGGAGGGCTCCACGGATTTGTTCCCGTACACGTCCGTTCAACAAATGGAAGATCTCGTGAATCCACTTGGCCAGGTGCACCGGCAACAGATCGAAGCAAACGACGGAATCTAATATCCAGTTCTGGACGTCGTCCTGAAGATTTTTTGCGTGACCCGCGGCATCGCAAGCAACAGGACTTACCACAGCATCAAAATAGCGCAGTCGGTCCTGCAGGGAAACGGTCGTGTCACCAAGAATGCGGATACTGCATAGAACGCTTTGCAAGCCGCCTGAAAATGAAAAGCAATGTTTGTTGAATGGCCTTGTTCTGTGGACAATATACATCCCAGCCATTTATGAGGTTTTTCGTGGGACAAAACATCGCCCAAGCCGAAGGCGGGGAACAGGGAGACCCGCTGATGCTGGGCCTGCTTGCGGTGGCCGTCCATCCGACGCTGGTGGCAGCCCATGACGACCTGCGACCCGCGGAGGACGTGTATGCCTTTTTGGACGACACGTTTGTGTCCTGTGAACCAGACCGGGTGTGCGCGGCCTTCAGCACGCTGCGAGCTGCCCAAGCGATACGCCAACATTGATGTTCACCTCGGTAAGACTCGCGTCTGGAACGCGGCGGGGGTTGAACCGCCCGGTTTACGCGAACTGCTGCCGGGATGCGCCGGTGTGGGTCGGGGACAGGGAGTTACCGCCAGAGGCACAAGGTTTCGTGGTCCTCGGCACGCCGCTGGGAAGCGACCAGTACAAAAGGGAGGCCCTGCGTGAACGGCTGCGTAGCCACGCGCGCCTCTTCGACAAGCCCCCAGGTCTGTCGGACCTCCAATATGCTTGGTTCCTGTTACTGATGTGCGCCGTGCCCCGCAGTAACTACTTGTTGCGGTCCCTTCCCTCATCGCTCACGGAGGAGTTCGCAGGTGAGCACGATGCGGGAGCCGCGCAGTGCTTGCGCGAACTTTTGGCCCTTTCACCCCGACGCCCTGGCAGGCAGGCGGGCCAGGCTACCCTTCAGGTTGGGAGGTCTGGGCCTCCGCTCAGCCACCGATGGGCGGGCAGCAGCCTTTTGGGCTTCCTGGGCGGATACGCTGCCCACGCTCCGTGCGCGACACCCGCGCGTGGTGGCCGAGATCCTGAACCAGGCGGCATGTTTGTAGCAAAAGGCGATGGCCGGCTTCCCTGGATGCGCCAGGTGCGCGGGCTGCTTCGCGCGCCCTGATGCTCTCCCAGGCACCCTGTGGAGCGCGGGCGCTGACGTCTCTCCCCACGGCACCGGAGTTCCGCTTGCAGAGCTCGCACTTCCGGGTGCTACTCTTGCGGCGACTGCGCCTGCCACTCCCACTCGCGCCACGCTAGCGCCGGTGTGGCGGCGCCCTCGACGCCCTCGGTGACCACCGCACCGCGTGTCTCACTGCCGGCGTCCTGGGACATGAACGTAGAGGTGCCACTGGCGGACGGCCGCCGCATCGAGGTCCTGGCCAACGGCCTGCCGCTTTGGCAAGGTTCGCAGGCAGCGGTCGACGGCGGGTCATGGGGGTGTCCGAAACAGAACGCCGGGGACGGCGGCGGGGAGGCCGCCGCGCGGAAGCGGCGGGTGACTTACCCCGAACTTGCGAATGCGCGGCGATGCAAACTGGTCGTCATCCGGCTGGAGGTGGGCGGCAGGTTCGTCGCCGAAGCTGTCCGATTCGTCCGTGGACTGGCGAAGGCCAAAGCCCGCGAGGCGCCGGCGCAGCTACGCGGCGCGGCGCGGCTGGACCGGCCTGATCGCTTTCGGATCAAATTGAGCCTTGGCCTGCTCATCCTGCTCCCTCCGTTGGGCGACCTCCTGGCCGCGAGGGGCACGGGAAACGTGCTGCCAAGCCGCCTCTCCTTTGATATGAAATTCTCGGCCGGCAGAAGAGACAGCACGAATCTCGCTTGTGTGCTTATTGTACATCCGTCGCATAATCCAGATGACGTGGACGTGAAACACCATGTTGCCGCAAAGCATCCAAAAGCACACCCCGTTGCGAAACCCATGCTGTTCATTGCTGTTCCTCAGGTTGGTATTCCTCCAAGGTAGCTTCAATGCGAGGCAGCAGCAGGTACGCGAACGTTTTTTTTTCAATTTTTTTTTTTTTCTTTTCTTCTTTTCCCGCAAGCGATTCGCACCTCATCCTGAGCTTGACGTCGTTGTCCTTTTTGCATTAGCATCGTCATCAAGCTTGTTACTCCCAACTCTGACGACACCGATGGCTTAAACACATTGCTGAGTTTCGTTTTTTCGGGGTCAAGCGTCCTCGTCAGACCTTCCAACAATTTGATGGCCCCGTGTGGCAATCCTGTGTATCAAACAGCTCTCTGTAGGAGTTGGCTGCCGGCAGGGTCCTCGTGAAATTCAGCAAAGAAAAAATCTGGGATGTTCCTGCTGGCGAAAATGTCTGCGCTTATCCCCTTCGTCCGCATGTTCTGTGGGGTCGAAAGCACATTGTTTAATGATGCGGAGGGCCGAGGACATGCGGTATCCCAAGCCGAAGGAGGCGAACAAGGAGATCCACTGATGCCGGGGTTGTATTCTATCGGGGTGCACCCAGCGTTGCAGGAAGTCCACTCCAGGTTGCAACCGGGGGAGGAACTTTACGCGTTCCTCGATGACACGTACGTGGTGTCTCTGCCCGACCGCACAGCACCGGCCTTGGACTTGCTTGGGTCTTCGCGAGCAAACGTTGACCTTCACTTGGGGAAGACGACGCGTGCTTGGAACGCGGCAGGCGAAGCGCCCCCGGGCCTCAATGCCCGGGTGCCGGCGGGACCGTCCGATCCGCCGGTTTGGGTTAGGGACTGGGCACTACCCGCCGAGAGCCAGGGTCTGGTCGTCCTAGGCACGCCAATGGGCAGTGATGCTTTCATCCAGGCAACCCTCCGCGCAAAACTGGACGACCATGAAAAAAAAAAAAAAAAAAAAAAACTGGACGACCATGCGGCTCTGTTGGCCAGCATCCCCACCGTTCCTGACCTGCAGGTCGCCTGGCTGCTTCTACGCAGCAACTACCTCTTGCGGGTTTTGCCGCCAGGCGTTGCAGGCGAATTCGCACGGCGTCACGATGCAGCAGTCCTCGGATGCTTGGGACGCTTACTCGGCAATGACGAGCCGTTGACTTTTGATCCGGTTGCGATCCGCCGGGCACATCTCCCCCTCAGGCTTGGCGGACTCGGCCTCCGTTCTGCAGAGACCGGCCGTTTGGCAGCGTACTGGGCGTCTTGGGCAGACACAGTGCAGACACACTCCCCGTCCTACGCGCCAGGCACCCCCGCTCAATAGCGGAAACGTTGCTTGTGTTGGTGAGCCGGCCGAGGACGCGGAGTGCCCGGCACGCGCCATCGCGCTGTTGCCCGCAAGCTTAGGAGGTCTGGGTCTCACTCAGGCAACACGCGCAGCCCCCGCAGCTTACTGGGCTGCGTGGGCTGGCTGACTCGCTCGCCGTCTTCGAGGCCCGCTGCCCCTGACGCGTTTGTCCAACGCCAGCTCGCGCTGAAACGGGAGGCCCACGATCGTCCGCCGAGGCCTGACCCATGTGACCACCTCCGCGGATGGCAGCGACGTGCTGCCCACGCCTGTGACGAGCGAGCGTTCGAGACGGCTTTTTCGAACCTGTCACCTGCCTCACGAGCGCTGCTGCTATCACAGGCCGGGCCGCACTCTTCGCGGCCCGCCATGGTTCTGCCCACACATGAGGATGTCACGCTCCCCAGTGCGCACTTCCGGGTCCTCCTCCTTCGCCGCTTGCGTCTGCCGCTCCCGCTCGCGCCGCGGACCTGCGCCTGCCGAAAGCCGCTGGATGTGCTGGGTGACTACCGGACGGCGTGTGCCACTGCTGGCGTCCTTGCCTCGTGCGCCATCCCATTTGAGCGAGCCCTCGCCAGGGTGTGGCTGGCGCACGTGTGGCCAGAAACGTGCGGCTAGCCGACATGAACCTCGATGTGCCCGTGCAGGACGCACGGCGGATTGAGGTTGTCTGCAACGGGCTGCCCCCGTGGCATGGGGAGCAGCTCGCAGTTGATGCCACGCTCGTCAGCCCCCTCGGCCGGGACGGCCAGCCCCGCGCCGGCGCCGATGCCCCGGCATCGCTCTTGCCCAGGCTACACGCCGCAAACAACGCCAAACCTTATCCCGAGCTGGAGCGGGCGCGCCGCTGCCGCTTGGTGGTGTTCGGGATGGAAGTAGTACATCCGCTTGCTGGCGAGAGCGCGCGCAGCGGAGGTGCCTGCCTCTCTCCGGACTGCTGCCCGGGCAGCGAGGGTCTTGAGATGGAGCGGCATCCTCGCTGTTGCAGCGCAGCGAGCCTTTGCAGCATCCCTCCTCGAGCTGGCGGGCCGGAGCCCGCCCTGCCAGGCTCCTCGCCGACGCGCGCTGGCAGGCGACTCCCGCCGACAGCCGCCTCCCCATGCGTGCTGTCTGAGGCCGAGGTGATTCCCGCAGCTGTCTGAGGCCGAAGCGCCGTGCACAGGGACCCACTTGATGTTGCGGAAAACGGCCCCGAAAAAATAAATCTCCACCACTGTCTCCAACGTCAAAATGGTTTTTGCAGCTTGATCTGGATGGATATGTCCTTCCAACAACACCCAAAGATGGTTTTCATGCGGTTTCTCTGTGATTCAACACTGATTCAACGATTGGAATTGCAGGTTCCTGTTCATGCGTCGACGAGAGATTGATGTGTGTTTTGTGGTTTGTCGCGCGTACTGTCGTTTCACGATACCCGCGTCGCGATTGCAGTGCGACATTGGCCAAGGTAGGCGAATCGCGGCAGCCATTTTGGCATTCTCAAAAGACCAGCCACTGCGCACAGGGTAGAACGAAGCCATGGGAGTACAGGAGAGCCGTTTGCGAGTGGAAGACCGCCAGGCTGCCGACCCCGACGGGAAGTGGTGTGTTGGTGACCTCACGCCCAAAACGGAGGCAGCCAAGCAGTGTCCAGGCTTCGGCATCGATGCAGAATCCCCAGTGGAAGTGCCCCAGAAGGCAATGTCAGCACGGGTGTTCGTTCATTCTCTGGCATCAGGCAGTTTTCGGGATGAGTTTGTTGTCCAGTTCAACAACGTGGCAGACGTTGGGTTCTGGCAGGGTGTTCGCTCCCGGTGCGATTTCGATCGGTTGTATGAGGACCTGGGGAGTGAACATGGTGGGACCATGATCCAGCCCTTGCCCAATCGGAAAGCGGACTATTTCAGAATGCAGCCGTTGGTGTGGAGCGTCTACATGCACGAAAGTGGGACATTCCTCGAGAATTGGCTCAACGCAGTCATTCAAGCAGGCTTTGGCCGCACAGGCTCTTTCAAAAGATTTTTGTCGAACCAGCCGATTCGCCAGCCTGTTTCCATCCATGGCTGGGACAGTGTGTCGCACATGATCTTTGCTTTGCCAATGATGGATGACGTAGTCGATTTCCTGGAAGAGCCTTTGGATATCGTCCGCTTGTGTGAGCTTTCTTCAAATACAATCTTTCAAAACGGCAAGCTCTTCTGTGCCAAGCAGTGGGAACGCATGTATGCTGAGCGTTGGCCGGCATTCCATGAAGCCCAATGTCACATGTCAGAAGTGACCCGTATGGAGACGGATTGGAAGTCTATGTGTCTTGGCAGCAGGGTGCCACGTCGTGCAAGCAACGTGCTACATGATTGATCCAGTTCACGTGAACCAGCATGTCCAGGTACCGGCACACTTGTTCCGGACATTACGAAGCACTACTGGAGGTGGGCTGAGGGTTTTCTTGCGCATCAAAAGCATCGGCTCCATCTTGCGAGGTGTACGACCGGGAGAAGAAGCTTGGATTCGCAATGTCGTGCATGTTGGCAAAGGCAGGTCCCTCTTGAGCTTGGCTGGCAGATTTTTTTTTTAAAGCAAGCCTCTTGGCGTGCGGAGGTCACCTGGGACGCCAACACCAACTGTTTCATTGCCGGCTATGTCAGTGCAAGTCAGGCTCCCCTTCGGCACCCGTAGATGTGGGATGTTCCCCTTCATACTGACCGTCCTTAATAGGGACCAAGGTACCCCCTGTTACAATCCCATGAAGGACTGTTACTATAGGGGGGGGGACCCCTAATTATTACAATCCCATAAGGACTGTTAGTACAAGGGCGTGGCGGGACATCCCAACCTGTAGAGCTCGTGTAGAGCCAACATGGGGCAAACTTCTCTTGTTGACTCGTCTTTATTCGGCAGGTCCTTCCGGAGCGAATCCCGTACCATGAAGGATACAGGCTGCGCTTCTGCAGGCCCTCCGTGCGCGATGAGCTCAAACCTGAGCTCATGCCGCCGCAAGTCTCGGAAGTGTATCTTAGCCCATCCTAGCCCGAGTGCTTGGTGCGTTCCTAGTCCTTGTGCATGCAAGGATTCCTGGCCGTAAGCCATGTTAAACTTGCCTGTTGCAAGGTATGGGTATCGTGCGACTTGGACGACAGCGAGGGAGAGCCATGTGATATTGCTGAATAGGCTTGAAGAGTACTTAGTGTGGGTTCAGAAGCATCTGCTGTTCAAGAAGAGGTTCTGCATGACGTGCCCGAGCTCAAAGTGGGCCAGGGCGTGGAGTTGCAATGGAAGATGCAGCAGGGCAGCCCATTCGGCTGGTGGTTTGGCATTGTTGAGTCAGTTCTGCGGGACAAGCACAGCACGAAAGCGATGATCACCATGACTTTTGACCACTTCCCCGCCACTTCCCGCTGGCGCCGCTTGCAGATTACAGTAGGAGACGGTGTTACGCGACCGTGCGCCATAGGAGGCTGGCATGGTGGTGTACGAGCTGTCAGCGCCGCGGAGAAGAAAGAGTGGGCAAAGTTCTTTCCCAAAGAGCCAGTGATTTTCTGAGTACAGACTTCAGATGACTTCAGGATTGTGAAGGCAATGGTGTCGCAAGGCGCGCAGTTGCACACAGGTCCCGGTAGAGCGGTGCCAGCTGGCTTGATCGAAGATCTTGCCGCGCTGGCATGCGGCAGTGGCTATATAGCTCGATCGCCCCTGTTTACCACAACATTTTTCCAGCACAAGAGAGATGGAGGGTGCTTGAAGTTGGGAACCTTGCAAGGTAAAATCTTGTGGCGTCCCGCTCGCGCGTACTCCATATATCTCCAGGCACCTTTGAAGTGCCGCTTGTACACAGATTATTCGCGATCGTTGGTGAAGTGACCGTATTGTGCGCAAGAGCATCCGCATGCAAGGATTTGTAACCGCGTGCGGTTTCCTTTTTTCTCAGCTGGTCGTGCCTTGACGCGACAGCAGGTTGTACAACCACTGCTTCCGAATTTCGCCCGCCATGCGCTATACTATAGAGCTATGGTGTGCTTGCATGAGCCCGGATGGCCGCACAAGTGAGATCATAAGGACTGTAGATGTGTAGATAGAATGTGTAGAGGCAAGGCAGTACGGGGGCACATGTGGAACATGATCGGGGGATCAATGGGCATCATCTCACTTGTTGCCGCCCTGTGGCTCCTTTCCATGCGTGTGCTTGGAGTGAAACCTCAAGTTGTTCGGACCTCTAAGAAGAGAACAAGGCGCGTGCACGCAAGCGTTGCAGTACTGTTGCAGTCTTTTGCAGAAATGTCATGGACACACTTGGTTCAACTCACTTACTCGCACTTCCTTTTGTGTTGGGCTCAGAGCATTTGGGAAGCTGGGGGCTTTAGGTGCGGCCGCGGCCCATGATGCAGAGACCTTACATCGAACGTTGCTGCACTTCCTCAAAGAATACTTCAAGGTTCATGGGTAGCTTATATGTAGGTTGTCAGCACCTTACTTCCCTATTTTTGAGCCACCCATGAACGTTGAACTGGCTGGCTCTTGGTACGGAATCAGGGAATGAGGTACCCTATGCAATCCCTTAAAGAGTGTGTTTAGGCCTAACTCCCTGATGCCGTACCAAGAACCAGGCGGAGAACCACCCATGAACCTTCAAGCATCTTTCATTCTCAGACCTCTCGGATTGCGGAGTGCGAGGTCTGGCCGAAAAGGGTACGGAAACCGCCTCCCCCCTGGTGGGTTGCCGCCCATTGTGAGGCTGGTTCAGGGTTTAAGGTTTAGGGTTCAGGGTTTTAGGGGCCTAGGAATTAGTGCACATTCAGTTCTTGGAGTCATAAAGATATCAGGCTTATGCACAGTCAAAGGTTGGACATGGTGGGTAGTGGGTATCTTCTGCACTTCTTGCTGATTTGACTTGAATCTGTGTTGAATAGAGCTGTAGAATATTATTGCGGCCGACGGTGAACTTCCGAAGCTTGCCAGCAGTGCTCGAGCATGAGAGTCGAAACCTTACAGCAGCTCTGCCCGGAGCCTTGCTAGACGGGTAGGAAAATAACCCTGAGAACCCTCAACCCTCAACCTTCAACCCTCAACCCTAAACCATAAACCCTAAGCCCTAACCTGCTGAGCGGTTCGTCCAGCTGTGCGGGTGCCAAAAACCCTAAACCCTCAGAACCCTCAGAACCCTCATAACCCTCATAACCCTCATAACCCTCATGACCCTCATAACCCTCATGCAGGGGTCGGGGTTGCTTGGATGGTTGCACTAGCGTGAAGCCTTTTGCCGCAGAGAGTGCTTGCAGAAACCCTAAACCTGGCTTTTCGAGCTTCCGGGGCTTGATCGCCCGGCCAGGCCTCCGGAGAAGTTGCTGGGAGCCAAGAGTCGTTGGCGATTCTTATGTAGGGGTTTAGGGTTTAGGGTTTAGGGTTTAGGGTTTAGGGTTTAGGGTTTAGGGTTTCCGGAATTCGGGGTACCGGATTGGGGTCCTCACAAGGGAATCCTACTATTTGGGGGATCTATACCTGGGTCCCTATTTTCGTAAATTCCCATGAAGCTTCCTGAGGAATCAGGTCCATTGTGTTAAACGTCAGGGAGAGTTTACATCAATAATGTTTTCATTAGGGTTTCTCGTCTGCGTCCGGGTTTATCGAAGGGCCGCAAGGAGGATCCGAGCACAGAGTTTGGACTGCACGGACCACGGAGGTAAATCGGATGTTTGTCATTGCAGCACATTCCGTTTCGCAGACTCTATATACGGAACACGGTTGCTGGTCGTTTCTTTGCCTTCGCCTCGAGCTTGTGTTGAGTCTTGTTTTGCGGAGGCTGGGGCGAAGCCCACAGATTCAGAAGAAGAATTGGAATGTGGGCTGGAAGCTGAATGGCTGAATGCGTGCCATGCTTTGGGGCTGCGAGTCCACACTGTCAAATTGAGGAGGTTCACAATTTTTGTCAAGCTAGTTCAGACCTATTCAGTCCTACTGTGCGGAATGGTTGAGCGCCTCCCCACGAGTTCCGTAGCACGTCTCAAGCCTGCTTACTTGATCTCGGACCCTAGGAGAGGCATGAGGGTGGCGAGTGAAAGGCAGTGATCAAAAGTGCTGCTCTGAGAGCCACTGAGGTCACGATGCCATGTCTGCTGCATCCGTTTGGTTGGATAACGTCGCGACGCAGGGAAAGCGTGCTGAGCTCAGTGTGGTTGCAAGCACATGCCCCAAACCGCATACACACCGCTTGAGCTCACGTCATGTACTCGCATTGTTGGACCACAGGGATCGGGGATCGGGTCACCGACGAGCCGGTGCTCTACAAAGGTGACGTGCGTGGAGCCCAGCCCGACGCGATGCGGTGGTGCGGTTGCCTTGCAAGTCTCCCAGTCTGTCCCAGTCTTTCTTCTTTCACTCTATCTCGCTCTGCTCCGAAACTGCTTCTAGCTGGACACCTCGCCCAAAGCGTTCGAGCCTTCACGGCTTGATTGTTCAACCTGGCTGGTTTTCAGAGCGCGGTTTAAGGCTCGAGATTGGTGCTTCTTGACCATCAGATGCTCCTATGACTCAGGAGTCTGCGTGACCTCAGAAAGTTTGACCTTCCCGTGAGGCTGGGTGGCTGGGTGGGGTCACAGCATGTCAAGGCCACATCGTGCGATGGATGGAGATAAGGAACTGGCAGGAACTTTTATAATAAATATGCCGCAAGTGCGGCCGGAGCCAAGTTGGTGTGAATGCCGGAAGGCGCCTCATTGCATCCACGGGCGCCCTGTCCGCCAGAGAGCTGCACAAAGCCAGCCAAACCGATGAGGCACGCGTTCGGGAGATTTCGGGAGTGGGTTGCCTTGTTTATCTTGTTTGCCTTGGAGAAGGCCTGGATCCTTGCTTAAACGTCTTCAAGATGCTACAGGCCTTATCAAAGGCCCACAGGAACGTCCTTGGGGCTTCAGGGATCATGCTGTGCTCTTTCTCAGGGTGTTGGCATGTCATGAAGCAGAGCAAGCCAAGCAGACACGTAGGGAGAGCACCGGCAAACAGCGGCAGGTGCGATCAAGAACCAAACATGCATTGCTGATTCGGGCCCCAAACCTGAACCCTGGCCCTGGACTACGTTGTCGCCGTAGTCCTTAAGTTCCCTTAGTCGCTGTTTGAACGTCGACCAGGAATCCTCATGTCCAGAACCGAGAATCGCGGCTACTCTCACCCCAAGCATGAGCACGAACTAACCAAACACAAGAAGTCCCAAGCTGACGCTGACCGTGGACGGAGGAGCTGTTCCAGCCATTGAACAAGGACATAGTTGGTCAAGGGAGTGTGTTCATGCATTTGCGGCGAGGCTGCTAGCTGATGGTGTTGAAGACTCTTGATGCATTTGCTCATCCTCGCGGCAGCATTTTTTGCTCTCTTAGTCCTGAAGACCTTATGAAGATGAGAGGTTGGTGATTCGTAGCCACTATGACACCACCTACAACTGACACCCAGCCAACATGAACATCTGTCAGCACATCCTCACATTCTCTTGTAGCAGGATGCCATGCTTGCCTTGCGGCTGGCGTCGGCAATGTCCTGATACTGCTGAAGTGAGAGCCTGCGGAGGGCTTGCATCCAGCAAGGGCAATGGGCTGTTTGCCACACGGTCCCTGGTGGAAGACGAGTTGCTCTTCGAAGAAGATCCTGTCTGCGGCATGGCTATGCTGATGTTCGACGATGCTGCATCGGGAAGGTTTTGTCAGCACTGTCTGGTGCTGCTGCGCGAGGATTCCGAGACAGTCTCCTGTCTGCAAGAATGCGGGGCGTCATACTGCAGCCATGCATGCCGTGATGCTGCAAAGTGGGCTTACCATGATGTTCTATGCCCTGTCGCCAATCCTCGGTGGGGCGAGTACGTGGAGAGGGCGCGTGAGTGCGGGAACGAGTACTACGTACTGGCAGCCCGAGCGTTGGCGAGCCTACGAAACTGCACACCTGCGGATGATGGTGAAATGTGGACGCGGACGCCTTGGTTTGGATATGCAGCGCCGCCGTGGTGGCAGACAATGAAGCGCCCGATTTACGACACCGATGACGAGTCCGATGGTGACAGTGCGTCACAGCCTCAGGACTTGGATTCGGAAGACAACGCCTCCCTGGATCGTTTTTTCCAATCCGCCGTCCGCACGCAGACGTCGGAGATGGCAGAGGAGCTGGCTGCGATTCTGGCGAATTCGGACTCAGTGTGGTCCTCCTTGTTGGCGGGACCTCAGGCTTCTGAGGCTCTTGGTCGCCTCATGGGTCTCGTGAGGGTGAACTCCATGGCCATCCAGTCGCAGACCGGTGGTGACAGCGGTGACGATGTTGAACTCGCCAAGGGTATGGCGATCTACCCTGTCACCTCCGCCATGAACCACGATGCAGAGTCGAACTGCTATGTTGCGAGCAACCCGAGTGAGCCCCAGCGCTGCTACGTGCGTACGCGCCGGGCGGTAGCGGCGGGTGAGGAGCTGTGCATTGATTACCTGAGCGGGGCGCCATACAGTGATGAGCAGCGCTGTGACATACTGCAGCACCAGTATGGGATTCCAAGCACGTGAGGCCATACGGGGCACACTTGAAAGCCATGCCAAATATCGGATCTGACTTCTTCAGCCACTGCCCTCACAGAGGTTTCGGTCAACAGGTGCGATGAAAGAGCATGCAAAAGGTAGGGGGTGGGGGTTGCCTGGCTGGTCCTTCGCAGAGCGTGCAGATGTTGCAGCCCGCATCCCAGAACTCCCGCAGCCTCCTTATTCCGAACCAGGCAGCCAATGTCAGTATATGTCAGTATGCTGCATCCTGGGGCACCATGTCAGGGATTGAGATGCAAATGGTCACTTCTCTAGATTCTCTTTGGGTCCTTACTATAAGGCGGCCCCTAATATTTTATATTTAGGGTACCCAAAACGGGACCAACATTTTGAGAACTGACCACAATGCAGGAGGAGCGTGAGATGAAAGTCATCCTCCAGCTCATTAGCGAGAAGGCGGCGCAGAAGCCTGATGCCCAGGAAAACTGGGCGTTTAGGGTTTAGGGTTTAGGGTTTAGGGTTTAGGGTTTAGGGTTCCTGGCAGCAAGAAGTCCAGTTGCAAAAAGGGTTTAGGGTTTAGGGTTCCTGGCAGCAAGGAGTCCAGTTGCAAAAAGGGTTTAGGGTTTAGGGTTTAGGGTTTAGATTTCCTGGCAGCAAGAAGTCCAGTTGCAAAAAGGGTTTAGGGTTTAGGGTTCCTGGCAGCAAGGAGTCCAGTTGCAAAAAGGGTTTAGGGTTTAGGGTTTAGGGTTCCTGGCAGCAAGAAGTCCAGTTGCAAAAAGGGTTTAGGGTTTAGGGTTCCTGGCAGCAAGGAGTCCAGTTGCAAAAAGGGTTTAGGGTTTAGGGTTTAGGGTTTAGGTTCCTGGCAGCAAGAAGTCCAGTTGCAAAAAGGGTTTAGGGTTTAGGGTTCCTGGCAGCAAGGAGTCCAGTTGCAAAAAGGGTTTAGGGTTTAGGGTTTAGGGTTCCTGGCAGCAAGAAGTCCAGTTGCAAAAAGGGTTTAGGGTTTAGGGTTCCTGGCAGCAAGGAGTCCAGTTGCAAAAAGGGTTTAGGGTTTAGGGTTTAGGGTTTAGGGTTCCTGGCAGCAAGAAGTCCAGTTGCAAAAAGGGTTTAGGGTTTAGGGTTCCTGGCAGCAAGGAGTCCAGTTTCAAAAAGGGTTTAGGGTTTAGGGTTTAGGGTTCCTGGCAGCAAGGAGTCCAGTTGCAAAAAGGGTTTAGGGTTTAGGGTTTAGGGTTTAGGGTTCCTGGCAGCAAGAAGTCCAGTTGCAAAAAGGGTTTTGGGTGTAGGGTTCCTGGCAGCAAGGAGTCCAGTTGCAAAAAGGGTTTAGGGTTTAGGGTTTAGGGTTCCTGGCAGCAAGGAGTCCAGTTTCAAAAAGGGTTTAGGGTTTAGGGTTTAGGGTTCCTGGCAGCAAGGAGTCCAGTTGCAAAAAGGGTTTAGGGTTTAGGGTTTAGGGTTCCTGGCAGCAAGGAGTCCAGTTGCAAAAGGGGTTTAGGGTTTAGGGTTTAGGGTACCTGGCAGCAAGGAGTCCAGTTGCACAAAGGGTTTAGGGTTTAGGGTTTAGCAAAAAGGGTTTAGGGTTTAGGGTCCGGGCCTCCCCAAACAAACCCTCGAAAAGCCCAAAAGCCCAAAAAGTCTCTGGGGAAGCTTCGGTCTTTTTGGGCCTGTTGGGATGTGTTCTCCACTTAAAAAGCCTCCCAAAAGCGAAGAAGAAGAGCCGAGGCTATTGTCATTGCTAACAAAGGGGTGGGGGGTGGGGTTGTGGGGCAGGGGTGCATGGGGTGCAGGGGGCGGGGGGGGGGGGGGGCCGTGAGGGGCATGGGGAGGGGGATGGGTTCTTAGCCGCAATTTTTGCTTGTCCTGGAATAGCTGCTTCCGCCGGCCTTTATGCCGCCTAGAAGCTGGACTAGCATCAAGTTGTTATTGTTGCTACTACTACTACTACTACTACTACTACTACTACTCCTATTGCTACTGCTACTGCTACTGCTACTGCCACTACTACTTCTACCACCACTACCACTACTCCTACTCCTACTCCTAATCCTACTGCTGCTACTGCTCCTACAGCTACAACTACAACTACAACTACAAATACAACTACAACTACAACAACAACAACAACAACAACAACTACTACTACTACTACCACTACTACTACCACTTCTGCTACTGCTACTACTACTATAATATTATTGACTCTATTATTGCAATCTGTTTTTGTTTCTGAGTTGCATTTACTGCCGCTCTAGCTATTGCATTCAGTAATCATCGTTCTGATTCTTGTCGTTGTCATGGTTCTCATTATTGTTGTCGTGAGTATGATTTTGTTAGTTTTTATTGTTCTTTTTATGATTGTTTTCGACTCTTCATCGATCGTATGGTTACCCGAAACCCTAAAACCCTAAACCCTAAACCCCAAACCCTAACCCTAAATCTTGAACTGCACTTGATTGCTGAGGTTCAACTCCATCCGAAGCGCTCTCCGGCACCTGGATGCCGACTGCGACGGGAACGTGGACCGAAGCGAGGCTTCCCGCGTCTGCCGCTTTTCTAAGGGTGTTAAGTTGAGATGTTCCCCCTTATACTAACAGCCCTTAATAGGGATTATAGTGCCCCCTATGATCATCCCTACTGAGAACTGTTGGTATAAGGGGGAACATCCCAAGTTTTAAGGTTCAAAAATGGGGTTCCAGATGCAGCTGTGAAAAAGGGTTGTATGGGTTGTTTCGAGGGTTTAGATTGGTTCGCGTTATTCTAGTTGTTGTGGGATACTACATGCTGTAGAGTTTAGCGTTTAGGCTGCCAAGCCCTCTAACCCCTCTAAGCTCAAATCCCTCTAATCCCTCTAATCCCTCTAATCCCTCTAATCCCTCTAATCCCTCTAATCCCCCTAATCCCTCTAATCCCTCTTATCCCTCTAATCCCTCTAAACTTGGGATGTTCCCTTGTACTAGCAATCCTTAATACGGATGAAACTGTAGGGGATACTATAAATCCCTGTTAAGAACTTGAAAAAGGGGGAACATCCCAACTCTAAGCCCCCTGGGACCCCCTGAAGTGCAAGGTCCGAAGTGTTTGGCTCTTATAACCTACTTAAAGGTTCATGCGTAGTTCTAAGTAGTTGGTTATAATATAGGCTACCTTATTAGCAACCCTACTTGTGCACTACTAGGGGTTTTTCGGTTTGTCGTTTGCCGACTTTTGAACAAAACACCGAACCCGCAACTCGAGAAAACAAACCCAAAGCCCCCCAACTCCCCCTAAACCCTAAACCCTAAGCCCTCAACCCTCAACCCTGAACCCTAAACCCCAAGCCCTCAACCCTAAACCCTAAACCCTAAACCCTAAACCCCCCTCTGCTTTGTCCCATGGCCTCTGCCATGGCCATGGCCTCTGCCGGGCGTGCGGATGGATTGTAAGTGCCTGAGGCGGCCTGGTGCTCCGGGTGAAGGCCACCTTGAGGGTTGAGGGTTTAGGGTTTTAGGGTTTCCAGGTTTAGGGTTTAGGGTTTAGGGTTTAGGGTTTAGGGTTTAGGGATTAGGGTTCAATGATCAATGACATTTTCTTCTCTCCTGCCAGAGCTCGTTTTGTGCACTAGCTGCTTGCATCATACCGCCGAGCAAAGCTTCCACGGCCACCATGGTTCAAGGGATGAAGACTTGTAATCCTAAGGTTGTAGCCCTAAAGGTTCCCCTCAATATACTCCTCATATGGCCCTTATATTTCCTTTAGAAATCCTTAAAACGGGACCCCAAACCCAAAGGTATTGATCTCACATGACGTCCCCAGATCTTCGCCCTCCGAGGTGCACCTGTCGCCGTGGGAAATCTGGCCGGATGACGACCCGCGCCGCCGCCCGCCAAGCGGTGCGGTCCCAGTACTTCTTTGTTGCAAACGATGAAGAGGCTTTCTCTGCGACTTGGCTCCAGCAGACACTTGGGCCGCTGGAGTTTAGACATGTACTGTATGTGTATGTGTGGGGAAGTGTAGAATGTGCACGTTTGCTTGCTGTTTGTGTCATCCATGATCCGGCAAAGTTGGAAGGGTATGGAGAAGATTCGCACGGCCGACGGCCACCGCACAAGCGCAAGGGTGGGGAAGCGTGCCAGGTGGGACAGCCCATGCCCTGTCCTTCTGATACAGTGCACTGAAGTGGACTTGCTTGCGGCAAGACGTGGCGTGTTGGGTTCCCTGTGGATGCCAAATTAAAGAAGTTAGCTGAAATCACTTGGCTATCCCTCTATAGCCAGTGTACACCCCCTAAACCCTAAACCCTAAACCCTAAACCCTAAACCCTTGCAGAAGGCCTCATAGAGACCCGCATCTTCTACCGCCAGCTTCCCGTTTTCGACCCAGGTCTTTGGTCGCCAGGAAGTTCAGGACATCAATACGATCCGTCAGGCTGCTGGTGGTGCTTAAAAAGCAGCCCATTTTTGCAATTTGACAGGTTCATAGCAATGCTACCTGAAATAGCACTAGGCATCGTAAGGACAACAGTGTTGGTGGTGGCGGTGTTGTTGGTGGTGGTGGTGGCGGTCGTGGTCGTGGTCGTAGTCGTCGTCGTGGTCGTGGTCGTGGTCGTCGTCGTGGTCGTGGTCCTTGTTGTCGTTCGTGGTCCACGTGGTCGTGGTAGTGGTAGTGGCAGTGGCAGTGGCAGTGGCAGTGGTAGTGGTAGTGGTGGTTGTCGTCGTCGTGGTGCAGCAGCAGCAACAGCAGCATCAACAGCATCAATTATCCTACTGCTCTGCGTGCACAAGAGGTAACAGACGTGGCCTACTTGCTCCTCTTCCTCCTGGTCCTCTTTGGGATGCTCTGGCTCGACTTCGCTGCCGGCTCCTATGGAAATGTCCAGAGGCTCTCCGAGCCCATCGACTACAAGGGTAGGCTTTGTGGCTACGACAAGGAGGCCGGGTTTGGGGCTTAGGGTCAGGGGGTCTGGGGCACCCTTCTGAATTCAGGGGTACTGGGTTCTCCTCTGTGTTTAGGGTTTAGGGTTTAGGGTTTAGGGTTTAGGGTTTAGGGTTTAGGGTTTAGGGTTTAGGGTTTAGGGGGTTCTGTTTTTGGAGTACTTCTGGTGTGCAGAGTTGGGGGTTTAGAAAAGAAATGTGCCCGGCGCCGGACTCGGAGAGCTCTGGGTTGGAAAAGGGCCTCCTTTGTTTTGTGAAAGGCACCAACCAGGGTGTTTAGGGTTTAGGGTTTAGGGTTTAGGGTTTAGGGTTTAGGGTTTGGGGTTTAGGGGTCCATGATTTGCTTCGCTCTGCTGTCAAGTTGAAGCATGTCCTCTTCGCCCCCCTGTGGCAGGTGCGGGCCCAGCCCTTGGGCTACCACCCAAATCCCTTCAATGACATGGTCATCTGCGTCTCCTCCTGCCCGCAGACGCTTGGGATTGCAGGGGGGTCTACCAAAGCAGGGCTTGCATAGCTTCTGGGTTCTAGACGGTAGTATCTAGGCTTTGTGGCAACTCTTGCATCTTACATCCCACTGCCCCAGTGCATTCATGATTGCAATCTGAGGACGGCCACAGATGGCACCTTCACCCTGCCGGACGGGCCCATGGGGAAGGACGGCAGCCTTCATGGTAGTAAGATTTGAACAAGAGGCACATGTGTGAAGCTGCCTTATGAGCCCTTGCAGTCCTTGCAGTAGCGAAAGTGTGAGAGTCGGGGAAGGACTTTACTCGGCCGGCCTACCCCACAGCCAACATCTACGGCCAGCTTTGCTTGCCTCTGGATCTCGAGCTTGCCCGCCTCATCATCTCGGTCAAGAGCGTCCAGACCGAGATGTACAAGGCCTTGGGGGTGATCTTCACCTCCTCGGATGGAATTCTGGTGGTGCTCTCGGTGCCTTTCGTGACTTCGGGCATCTACCTGATCGCCCTCTACTACATCCCCACCGCCGCCACCACCCTGGCCTTTGCCATCACGGCCGTCACTCTGGCCCTGGTGGGAGTGCTCATGGACCTGGACTTGAGTGTCATGAAGGGCATCGACCTCTTCAAGGAGACGCACCCCCTGATGCTGATGGCTTTTCCATACTTCCGGACCGGCTGCTATCTGACGAGTGGCATGTTCTTCTTGATCCTGGGCACCACAATCTCAGCCATGGTGCGGGCCCACGCTGTCTTTCGGGAATGTGTGGCGGCGATCTTTGACCCGAATGTCCTGGTCACGGTCTTCACAAGCATGGCCCTCTCCGTGGTCCGCATTGCCTTCATCTTGCACGTCTGCAGGCGCACCTGCCCCGTGCGAGGGCGAGGTGTGACACTTCCTGTCGCCAGCCATACACACACACACACATATATATATATACACATATATACATATGTACATATACATATATTTACATGTATATGTTCATTTTAGTATTATGATTATTATTCTTATTCTTGCTATTCTTGAGCGAAGCGCAGCCTCCTCGGTGCAAGGCGCCTGTCGCTCCTGATGAGCATCGTGGAGCCTTACGAGGCGCGGAACGCCGGCACAGTCTGAGACTGCTCGTGATTGTGCAGCGCGATCTGTCCCGCAAACTCTGCCTCCTCTCTTCTGTGTACCTCAAAACCCTGAACCCTAAACCCTAAATCCTAAACCCTAAACCCTAAACCCTAAACCCAGAAAACCGCAGCACCTCATTGCAGAGAAGGCCCTCCGCAGAGTCGCAGGTGGAGCTCCAGCTCTTCGGCGAGGTCCACTTCGTGCTGAGGACGGCCTGGTCCCCATTCTTCCTGACGCCAGCACAAACATGGGGGGGGGGGGGGGGTTTCCGAAGTTAGGGTTTAGGGTTTAGGGTTTAGGGTTTAGGGGGTACCTTATTGGGGTCCCTATTGTAAGGGAATCCTAGTCCCTATTATCGTAACCCCCCAAATGGGTCCAGAAAAGGGTTGAAGGCTTACAGTAAGGTGGGCAGCGGAAGTCCGCATAGTTCTATTCCTGAAGTTCCGATGTGGGGTTGGCTTCCTCCAGAAGCTTTCGGCACTCTCCCGGCTTGTCCTTGGGTGCACCCCTTGGGTTGAGGGCTTCAGAGCATAGGCCACATGGCCGAAGGCGCAGGTGACGAGCCCAAATTGACTTCTAAGAAAGTCTCGCGCGCGCGTGCACCCTCTTGTGCTTGGCACGCGGCTGAGGAAGGGCGTCTTCTTCTACGTCTTTGGAACTTTCTGGGCCCTGGAGTTCTTGTCCTTCAGCAACAAGTACATTACCGCGCAGGCCGCCCTGAGACTTATGTGCCCCCAGAATCGTTGAACAAAACCCTAAACCCTAAACCCTAAACCCTAAACCCTAAACCCTAAACCCTAAACCCTAAACCCTAAACCCTAAACCCTAAACCCTAAACCCTAAACCCTAAACCCAAAACATCCCAAAACCCTAAACCCTAAACCCGAAACCCTAAACCCTAAACCCCTAAACCCCTAAACTTAAGCCTTTCCTGAAGTGGAGGCTCTGAGGGTAGTTTCATGGGCCCAAAGGGTTCGGATGTATGGGCCCTTAATGGGGTATAGAAGGGGCGAAATAAGGGGTACCTTTTTAAAGGGCCCGTGGTAAGGGACCATGCAACTACCTTAGAGAAACGTCGGAGGGTTCACGAGGGTGCTCAAAACTTCTAGAAACTTCTAGGGAGACAAGCCCTCCCAAAAATCGACGAACAAGCCGCAAAAAGCAGCCCCTGCACTCCGCAGGTCCTCTGCGCGAACTATTTCCACCTGAAGGCCCGTAACCTGCGGCAGCAGGCGCGCCAATCAAGAATCCGACTCGTTGTGTGAAGAGAAGAGTTGTGTGTGGTGCGATTGGTCAGGCATGTTTTTAGGTTGTTTGTGTAGCTCAATCTAAGCTCAAGCGTCAAGCGTTGGACTGTGAAGTCACCATCTTGCTTGCTTGGCATTTGCGTTACATTCGGATTGTTTTGGTTTTTGCACACAGTGTTCCGCTCAGTACTCACTAAGTACATTGAGGCTCCCCTACGGCGTGCGGCCTTTTTCCCCACGATTCCTTCAACGATCTTCTGCGAAGTCCCCCACAAGGGGGAGCAGCACCCGCCAGGAGATCAGCAGTGGCCGCCCTGCTCCCATCCGTTACGCGCTGTACTCGCTGCTGCGCGACCCGGCCTGGAGCTTTGAGGGCTGTAGGGCCGTAGGAGTTTCGGGTTTCGCTTTAGGGTTTAGGGCCCAGGGGCCTAGGGCCTAGGGCTTAGGGTGCGTGCGAGACTCCATGTGGCGTGGGTCGGAGGGTAGGGGCCTTTCGGGCTTCTCTTGAAGTCTTCGGGTTTTCAGGGGGGCTTGAGGGGCAGGACGCAAGCCTGCCAGGAAATTGGCTTCTGTTTGCAGAGAGAGAGGCTTCGGGCTTCTAGGTTCCAAGGTGCCAAGTTCGAGATGGGAAGGGAGGGTTCCGAGGGTGCGTAGGGCTTTGTTGTCGAAACTGGTTTGATGCAACCCTAAACCCTAAACCCTAAACCCTAAACCCTAAACCCTAAACCCTAAACCCTAAACCCTAAACCCTAAACCCTAAACCCTAAACCCTAAACCCTAAACCCTAAACCCTAAACCCTAAACCCTAACCCTAAACCCTAAACCCTAAACCCTAAACCCTAAACCCTAAACCCTAAACCCTAAACCCTAAACCCTAAACCCTAAACCCTAAACCCTAAACCCTAAACCCTAAACCCTAAACCCTAAACCCTAAACCCTAAACCCTAAACCCAAACCCTAAACCCTAAACCCTAAACCCTAAACCCTAAACCCTAAACCCTAAACCTTAAACCGTAAACCCTAAACCCTAAACCCTAAACCCTGGTTTGATAGCAGTTGCGACACGCGGGCAGCAGAGCTGAAGTCCAGGATTTCACCTGGGCAGCATTGCCCGGGCAGCACTGATGTCGGCTCCTTGCCGGTTCCTTCGAGGCCTGTGCCTTGCCTACAGGAAATTTACATCGAGTTTTTACTCTATGTACTCTTATTCTTATTGTTATTGTACTGTTATTGTTATTCTGATTCTTATTCTTATTCTTATTTTTCTTCTTCTTCTTCTTGTTTGTATTCTTTATTTCTTTCACATGTTGAGCTTGAGATGTTTCCGTGCAGCAGATCAAGTCCATCTTCACGCCTCCTGGCGTGCCAGCCCAGGATACAGGTCTTCGTCCCCGACAGACCAAACCTGGACAAGTCCTTGAACCAGCAGTACCGCACCCTGGTCAGCAGAACAGCCGGCATCGCACCGAATCTGGATAGTTGACGTCGACTGCACCAGAATCGTCACACCAGTATGTTGCAGCAGTCAGCGCGAAGGTGCGGGATCTGTGCCATCCGCCGCCATTGGTGCTGTTTTAGGCGCTTGCTGCCGCTGAGGTATTGCCTTCTACTTGTTCTGGCCTCTGATCCAGATCGACCTGTATATCCTCCGCTTCTACAAAGACAGCGTGCTGGTCATGCTTTCCTTGAAGGCTTCCCGTGCCCAAAACGGCCGTGAAAAACCAGAGCTGGACACCTCTTAGCTGTTCTTTGCCCTAAAGTTCCAGAGCACCTGCACTGCCCCGCAGGGCTTCAAGTACATGGATTCCGCGCGCCGGGTGGAGGGCTTGCTGAACAGGTCGAGGGGGAAGATCCCTCACCTGACGAAGTTCACATCCAGGAGAGGTGTTTTTTTGAGGGTTTAGGGTTTAGGGTTTAGGGTTTAGGGGCTTGGAGCGTCGCCTCAAGATGGACAACAAGGTTGCCAAGGGCCCGTCTCACCCGGATTTTGGGTTTGGCGCCCCCACGATGTTCTGGGATGTTGAGCGCCGAAACCTCCAAAAAAGCACAAAACCCTATAAACCCTAAGAACCCTAAACCCTAAAAAACCCTAAACCCGAAGATTCCAAAACCAGGATTGAGGCCTTCTTGAAGGGCAGCATGGGCTTCACGAGCATGGTCTGGGCCTTCTTCCTGTTCCGGGAGCCGCGACAGGGCGCGTACCACCAGGTGGAGACACTGAGCATGAGCCTCGGCCTACGTTTAGGGTTTAGGGTTTAGGGTTTAGGGTTTAGGGTTTCGGGTTTCGGCTTTCGCGTTTAGGGTTTAGGGTTGTTTTGCAAGGGAATGGGCTTGAGTTGGTTTAAAAATGTGAAAAATGAGGCCTCCAAGGCACAGGGTGACCTGCTTTCCCTCAACATGAGCTGCGTGCTTTCTCTGGGGCGGTCTTCAGAGTTCCGAAATTCTCCGTGGATGTAGAAGCGTAGCCAGCGCAGCTTAGTCAGAAGCACGCAGCGGGTCCGAAGCTGAGTTCGAAGGCTTTTTTTGCTACCCCTCGGCAGCCTCCAGCAAGGAAGTCGTCCATCACTAACGTCTTCGTGACTCCAGAGCATTCGCCGCTGCTTGCCATGCCGGTTCTTCTCATGTTTGGCTTGTGGGTAGGTGATGGCATGCTGCACCTGGTAACAATGTCGTCGAATGCCCTGACCATCTGCTATTGCATTGACGTGGAGATGGTAGGTGGTACCGAAACTGGGTAGGGCCCTTGGGACATTTTATATTTTCCCCTTACAGAGCTTAAGAGGATCATATTTTTTCAGAGGGTTTAAACGGGCCAACTTAGGAAACAGATGCCTTGTATGCACCTGCCGGCTTGAAGTTGGTCTATCGAGATCTGGGTGGCGGCGAGTCAGAGCGCGAACTTGCTGAGCTGATGGCAAACAATGCCATTATGCAGTAGTTTTAGGGTTTAGTTAGGCTTTAGGGTTTTTCGGGTTTTGGGTTTAGGGTTGAGAGTTCGCAGAGGAAGCGTCCCCAAAACGGGGTGTCCACTTCATGTTCAGGCCTGGGGTGTGCAGCGAGGTGCATTGTTAACGCGCTTGACAGCGGTGGCCACAAGAGCACCGGGCGATCTTCCAAAGGTGAAGATTCTGCAGCTGGGTGGGGTTTTGGGGCCCGATGGACTTCCAGCTGCATGGATGGAAAACTGGGTGAGTGTATTTCACAAGGTAGTTAGTTTTCGGAAGAGCTGTTATTGCGTGGGAGTATTTGTGTAAAGCAGATTTGTGCGAATTATTTTGTGGTGGAGACAAATGGACTGGACTTCAGGCAGCAGAGGTAGTTGAAACTTGGAACATCAACAACTCCCAACTCCCTCTATTCGCTTCAACAACCTCGACCGCAATGCAAAGTAAACTTTTGCAATCGTGATTGTAGTACTGAGCTTTGGCTATCCCTGTCAGCCTCGGAAGCAAAACAGATTCATGCCAGGTGCGACATTTCTTCCGTGGCTACAACTTCACTGAGGAGGTTGCAGACCGCTTCTTTGAGTACTTGGACAAGGCTGCGCCGCCCCGCTGCCGAGCCAGAAGCCCCGAAACTGCATTCTGCTATCGCCCCTGCCCTCCCTAAATCGCAGATGGGCATGTGGGTTAGCACGGTAGGTTGGGTCCGGGGGTGAATTTTCAGATGCGTGAATTTTCAGATGCCCCCCTCTGACACAGACCTGGGGCATGCTGGTGTCAGTCTCAAAGGCAGGGGCGCGCCCTTTTTCTCCGTGCCTGGCACTTCTCGCACTTTCTTTCCCTCTCCTCCTCCGCAGCCATGGCCAGCGAGCAGCCCAAGAAGCCGACCGGCGGGGCCTACGGCAGCTGGCTGGCAGAGCATCGGGCGGAGTTGCAGAAGGAGGTGGGCCCAGGGAAGCCGGCGTGCGAGGTGGCCAAGCTGGCCGGAGTCCGCTTCAAGGCCCTCAGTGAGGACACCAAGGCCATCTACCAAAAGAAGTTTGAGGAGGCCAAGGCCAAGTACGATGCAGACATGGCCGCCTTCCTCGAAGCCGGCGGCGAGAAGAAGAGCATCAAGAGGAAGGCGGAGAAGTCCGCCAAGCGCAAGAAGGACCCGGCCGCACCGAAGAAGCCTGCGGGGGGTGCCTTCGGCTGCTTCCTTGCCAAGAACCGGGCCACTTTCACGGAGGAGTGCAAGGGCCAGCCGGTCACCGCGATCACCAAGATGGCCTCCGATCGATGGAAGAAGTTGAGCGAGGAGGAGAAGAAAGTCTACCAAGAGGACTACGAGGCCAAGAGGGCCGAGTACGAAGAGGCCATGAAGTCCTACGTGCCGCTTCCCAGCACCGACAACGACGCCGAGAAGCCGGTGGCTAGATCGCTGCTGCAGTACGCGCTTTTCCGGTAATTTTGTCCCGTGCTTGTGTCTATGACGTGTCAACCTGAAACATCACGCTGATCTGTTGCATGTTCCGTACAACTTACGTACATTCCACGGTAAAACTTGAGTAACATCTCAATGCTTTTGGTGGTCCCAAGCGCTCTTCTGGTGTTTCTTTTTCCGGGGGGCCCGTGTGCCCGGCCCAGGCCAAGAAGGCGCGGCTGTCCCCGGAGCAGAAGGAAGCGGCCAAGCAGAGCAAGGATGCCGAGAAAGCGCAGGCCAAGGAGAAGAAGGCGGCCGACAAGCAGGCCAAGGCAGACGCCAAGGCCTCCAAAGCCAAGGCAGCGCCCAAGAAGGCCCGCAAGCCGCACGGAGAGCGAACCCTCTCAACTCTCGAAGCCCAGTGAGGTCAGGTCGTACAAAGGTTGAGTTTTCGGGGTCCATAGCTTGAAGGTCTTCAAGGGCATGAAGAGCGGGGCTGGGGGACTGATCACTTATGATCACTTCTTTCGGTGTATGGGCCAGACATGCCGTGGTCCAAGCTCTCAATGCGAGTGCTCGATCGGTGTATTGCATGGTTGTATCGAGTGGCAGCCCCCAAAGCGTGGACCTGTGAGCATCATGTGCCGGCTATGCCCTAATTTCAGGGGTAACCCAGACAAACCCAAAGCCCAGAAAGAACAAAGCAAAAAACCCTAAACCCGAAACCCTTCGCTCCTTGGAGATGGTGCTGCAGAAGCCGGAAACCCATCCCGGTGAGGCCGGCGGCAAAGGACTCAGCATGAAGGCTGCCCCGGAGGCTCTGCGAAGTTGAGGGTGTACTGCAAAGGGCCTGCTTGAGGGCTTTCTGTGGCTTTGTTAGGCTTATAAGGTTCAGGGTGTTTAGGGGCTATGGGCTCTGTACCTTAAGGGTATTTGAGGCCCAAGGTGTTTGGGCACCTAACCTGTTGCGAGTTGTGACGGAAGGCCGTGCGAGGGTGGCAAAAAAGCAGCACAAAAATATGCCACTTGTAGACGAGTGACCGCCCCCAGGAAAAAAACTCCAGTTTCTTGAAGATCGGTAAAGCCGTGCAGCCCTGACTGAACACCAGGGACGAAACCCCTCTGAAGCCCTAATTAGACAACCCCCTCCATCAAACCCCCCAAACCCAAATCGCCTGGGGAGGCGCCCTCCGTGGAGCTGCCGCCGACGGTGGCCGCCAAGGCGGAGAAGGCTGGCTTGAAGGACCCCGGAATGGTTCAGCTTCCTCAGTGGTTGTGTAGGGTCGAAGATAGGTTTCAAGGGCAAAACGGGTCTACTGTAGGGCCTGGAGCCAGGTTCAGGATTTAAAGTCCTGCTTCAACGGAGGTTTTGAAGGTAGTTGGAGGCTACATGTGCCTGCCTTCAGAGAATCGCGCGGAGTCATCGTTGAGAGAGTCCTGCTGACGAACATGGACCACTGGAGTGCCGAGTTTAGTGCTTCCGAATTTCAAGCGATTAACAAGAGCCTGGTGCAGCAGAGGACCAGCTCATGAAGCTTGCTGTGCGCCCAGACATGGTGAACAGCTTCTCGGTTGCGCTTGGGCTCACTCGTCTTTGTGGGAGTAGATGCTTTGCTAGAACCCGCTCAGTATGCAAAGTGGAGAAGGCCTTCTCTGCGATTGGCATCTCTTCATCTAGTTAATCTAGTTCTGATGCCGTTGTTGCGGATTTTGCTGCAGTTGTGACACCCAGCTGGCTGCGAGAGCACGTCAAACATTGGCTCAGCCAAACGCATCCTTCACAAATGAAGTTCTACACTTGCGAGCGTGGCTAGACAAAACCCCTGAACACTGAAGATCTTCACTAGGCGGCAAGAGCCACGGCGCCATGCTCAAAGCTTTGGAGGACCCTGCAGTCTCTGCAGTATGAGGTATGTGGTATTGAGTCGCTCCGTGTGTCGGAGTTGGGGCTTCAGTTTTAGGATGGATTGGGGTTCTTCTACTGCTGCAGGGATGTGTTCAGCAAGGAGACGGTTTGTGCGGCCCTAAACCCTAGAGTTCCTAAACACACACTCAAGCACAAGCCGTGTGCTCCCCAGTGTCGGTGGGCTTCAGGGCTCCAACCCAAACTTTCTCAAGAAACGGGGCTTCAGCCCTGCTCTGAACCCGCAGGAGTCCGGTGGCTTGATCCACCCGGCGAAGAGAGCTTTGCTCGGGGCCTGATGGGAGTGCCATGCCGATCGGGGGTTCATAGTCAGGGCGCTTTCGGGGATTCGGGGCTCACTCTGTGGTTCACGAAGCCGACGCCCTTGCAATGACTCTGCAAGCATGTGGAAGGCTTTATTATGCTTTATTTAGGACGTGCCGGGCGCTTGGGCTGTCGGGACTAAACTGCAGAGAGCGCAATCGCCGGGGCGTGATTGCGCCCTAGGCTCCTTTGCAGGGACAATCGATGCACTGTCCCAGCTTGCCTCATGTTTCCAGACAAGGGGGTATGTCACCGCGCGAATGACCAAAAGCCGGCCGCTGTCGGGCTGTCCGTGTCAAGTCTGAGAATCCAAACCCAGAGATCCTTCAACTTCGATAATCCCTAAGTCGAAAGTCGGGGGTCCTCAAGCTCCAAACCCGAAGTCCTCAACCAGAAGCCCAAGCAGTGGATGCACCTGGCATCCCGCATTCTGCTGCTGCCCATGCTGAAACGCTGGTGGGCATGCGGGTGAGCACGGTGGGTGAATTTTCAGATGCCCCCCTCTCACACAGACCTGGGGCCTGCTGGTGTCAGTCTCAAAGGCAGGGGCGCGGCCTCTTTCTCCGTGCTTGGCACTTCTCGCGCTTTCTCTCACTTCCTCCTCCGCAGCCATGGCCTGCGAACAGCCCAAGAAGCCGACCGGCGGGGCCTACGGCAGCTGGCTGGCAGAGCATCGGGCGGAGTTGCAGAAGGAGGTGGGCCCAGGGAAGCCGGCGTGCGAGGTGGCCAAGCTGGCCGGAGTCCGCTTCAAGGCCCTCAGTGAGGACACCAAGGCCATCTACCAAAAGAAGTTTGAGGAGGCCAAGGCGAAGTACGATGCAGACATGGCCGCCTTCCTCGAAGCCGGCGGCGAGAAGAAGAGCATCAAGAGGAAGGCGGAGAAGTCCGCCAAGCGCAAGAAGGACCCGGCTGCACCGAAGAAGCCTGCGGGGGGTGCCTTCGGCTGCTTCCTTGCCAAGAACCGGGCCACTTTCACGGAGGAGTGCAAGGGCCAGCCGGTCACCGCCATCACCAAGTTGGCCTCCGATCGATGGAAGAAGCTGAGCGAGGAGGACAAGAAAGTCTACCAAGAGGACTACGAGGCCAAGAAGGCCGAGTACGAAGAGGCCATGAAGTCCTACGTGCCGCTTCCCAGCACCGACAATGACGCCGAGAAGCCGGCGGCTGGATGGCTGCTGCAGTACGCGCTTTTCGGTGATTGTCCCGTGCTTGTGTCTATGACGTGTCAACCTCAAACATCACGCTGATCTGTTGTGTTCCGTACAGCTTACGTACATTCCACAGTAGAACTTCCGCAAATCTCAATGCTTTTGGTGGTCCCAAGCGCTCTTCTGGTGTTTCTTTTTCCGGGGGGCCCGTGTGCCCGGCCCAGGCCAAGAAGGCGCGGATGTCCCCGGAGCAAAAGGAAGCGGCCAAGCAGAGCAAGGATGCCGAGAAAGCGCAGGCCAAGGACAAGAAGGCGGCCGACAAGCAGGCCAAGGCAGACGCCAAGGCCTCCAAAGCCAAGGCAGCGCCCAAGAAGGCCCGCAAGCCGAACTGAGAGCGAACCCTCTCAACTCTCGAAGCCCAGTGAGGTCAGGTCGTACAAAGGTTGAGTTTTCGGGGTCGATAGCTTGAAGGTCTTCAAGGGCATGAAGAGCGGGGCTGGGAGACTGATCAGTTCTTTCGGTGTATGGGCCAGAACATGCCGTGGTCCACGCTCTCAATGCGAGTGCTCGATCGGTGTATTGCATGGTTGTATCGGACCTGTGAGCATCATGTGCCGGCTATGCCCTAATTTCAGGGGTAACCCAGATAAACCCAAAGCCCAGAGAAAACAAAACCAAAAACCCTAAGCCCTAAACCTTTGGAGCTGCGCTTGAGTGGGAATCTGGCGGATTGTCATAGTGAGAACCTTCCGACCGAGTCCTTGCCTGCCTTGTGCGAGTGCGAGAGCCGAAACCCTAAACCCGAAACCCTCCGCTGCTGCAGAAACCCGAAACCCTCCACCCGCCAACCCTAAAACTTGGCCACCAGCCTTGTGAAAAGCTGCGCCGTGCCATCCCGGTGAGGCCGGCGGCAAAGGACTCAGCATGAAGGCTGCCCCGGAGGCTCTGCAAAGTTGAGGGTGTAGTGAAAAGGGCCTTTCTGAGGGCTTTCTGTGGCTTCTTTTAGAGGGCTGTTCGGCTTACAAGGTTCAGGGTTCTTTGGGGCTATGGGCTCTGTACCTTTTAGGGAATTTAAGGCCCAAGGTGTTTGGACACCTAACCTGTTGCGAGTTGTGACGGAAGGCCGTGCGAGGGTGGCAAATAAGCAGCACAAAAATATGCCACTTGTAGAAAAGTGATCGCCCCCAGGAATAAAAGCTCCAATTTCACGAAGATCAGTAAAGCCGTGCAGCCCTGACTGAACACCAGGGACGAATACCCCTCTGAAGCCCTAATTAGACAACCCCCTCCATCAAACCCCCCAAACCCAAATCGCCTGGGGAGGCGCCCTCCGTGGAGCTGCCGCCGACGGTGGCCGCCAAGGCCGAGAAGGCTGGCTTGAAGGACCCCGGAATGGTTCAGCTTCCTCAGTGGTTGTGTAGGGTCGAAGATGGGTTTCAAGGGCAAAACGGGTCTACTGTAGGGCCTGGAGCCAGGTTCAGGGGTTTAAAGTCCTGCTTCAACGGAGGTTTTGAGGGTAGTTGGAGGCTACATGTGCCTGCCTTCAGAGAATCACGTGGAGTAATCGTTGAGAGGGTCCTGGTGCAGCAGAGGACCAGCTCATGAAGCTGGCTGTGCGCCCAGACATGGTGAACAGCTTCTCGGTTGCGCTTGGGCTCACTCGTCTTTGTGGGAGTGGATGCTTTGCTAGCACCCGCTAAGTATGCAAAGTGGAGAGGCCTTCTCTGCGATTGGCATCTCTTCATCTAGTTCTGATGCCGTTGTTGCGGATTTTGCTGCAGTTGTGACACCCAGCGTGACACCCAGCTGGCTGCGAGAGCACGTCAAACATGGCTCAGCCAAACGCGTCCTTCACAAATGAAGTTCTACACTTGCGAGCGTGGCTAGACAAAACCCCTGAACACTGAAGATCTTCACTAGGCGGCAAGAGCCACGGCGCCATGCTCAAAGCTTTGGAGGACCCTGCAGTCTCTGCAGTATGAGGTATGCGGTATTGAGTCGCTCCGTGTGTCGGAGTTGGGGCTTCGGTTGTACCAGGGATGTGTTCAGCAAGGAGACGGTTTGTGCGGCCCTAGACCCTAGAGTTCTAAACACACACTCAAGCACAAGCCGTGTGCTCCCCAGTGTCGGTGGGCTTCAGGGCTCCAACCCAAACTTTCTCAAGAAACGGGGCTTGAGCCCTGCTCTGAACCCGCAGGAGTCCGGTGGCTTGATCCACCCGGCGAAGAGAGCTTTGCTCGGGGCCTGATCGGAGTGCCATGCCGATCGGGGGTTCATAGTGAGGGCGCTTTCGGGGATTCGGGGCTCACTCTGTGGTTCACGAAGCCGACGCCCTTGCAATGACTCTGCAAGCATGTGGAAGGCTTTATTATGCTTTATTTAGGACGTGCCGGGCGCTTGGGCTGTCGGGACTAAACTGCAGAGAGCGCAATCGCCGGGGCGTGATTGCGCCCTAGGCTCCTTTGCAGGGACAATCGATGCACTGTCCCAGCTTGCCTCATGTTTCCAGACAAGGGGGTATGTCACCGCGCGAATGACCAAAAGCCGGCCGCTGTCGGGCTGTCCGTGTCAAGTCTGAGAATCCAAACCCAGAGATCCTTCAACTTCGATAATCCCTAAGTCGAAAGTCGGGGGTCCTCAAGCTCCAAACCCGAAGTCCTCAACCAGAAGCCCAAGCAGTGGATGCACCTGGCATCCCGCATTCTGCTGCTGCCCATGCTGAAACGCTGGTGGGCATGCGGGTGAGCATGGTGGGTGAATTTTCAGATGCCCCCCTCTCACACAGACCTGGGGCCTGCTGGTGTCAGTCTCAAAGGCAGGGGCGCGCCCTCTTTCGGTGCCTGGCACTTCTCTCACATTCTCTCACTTCCTCCTCCGCAGCCATGGCCTGCGAACAGCCCAAGAAGCCGACCGGCGGGGCCTACGGCAGCTGGCTGGCAGAGCATCGGGCGGAGCTGCAGAAGGAGGTGGGCCCAGGGAAGCCGGCGTGCGAGGTGGCCAAGCTGGCCGGAGTCCGCTTCAAGGCACTCAGTGAGGACACCAAGGCCATCTACCAAAAGAAGTTTGAGGAGGCCAAGGCCAAGTACGATGCAGACATGGCCGCCTTCCTCGAAGCCGGCGGCGAGAAGAAGAGCATCAAGAGGAAGGCCGAGAAGTCCGCCAAGCGCAAGAAGGACCCGGCTGCACCGAAGAAGCCTGCGGGGGGTGCCTTCGGCTGCTTCCTTGCCAAGAACCGGGCCACTTTCACGGAGGAGTGCAAGGGCCAGCCGGTCACCGCCATCACCAAGATGGCCTCCGATCGATGGAAGAAGCTGAGCGAGGAGGACAAGAAAGTCTACCAAGAGGACTACGAGGCCAAGAGGGCCGAGTACGAAGAGGCCATGAAGTCCTACGTGCCGCTTCCCAGCACCGACAACGACGCCGAGAAGCCGGTGGCTAGATCGCTGCTGCAGTACTCGCTTTTCGGTGATTGTCCCGTGCTTGTGTCTATGACGTGTCAAACTAGAAACATCACGTTGATCTGTTGCATGTTCCGTACAGCTGACGTACATTCCACGGTAAAACTTGAGTAACATCTCAATGCTTTTGGTGGTCCCAAGCGCTCTTCTGGTGTTTCTTTTTCCGGGGGGCCCGTGTGCCCGGCCCAGGCCAAGAAGGCGCGGCTGTCCCCGGAGCAGAAGGAAGCGGCCAAGCAGAGCAAGGATGCCGAGAAAGCGCAGGCCAAGGAGAAGAAGGCGGCCGACAAGCAGGCCAAGGCAGACGCCAAGGCCTCCAAAGCCAAGGCAGCGCCCAAGAAGGCCCGCAAGCCGCACGGAGAGCGAACCCTCTCAACTCTCGAAGCCCAGTGAGGTCAGGTCGTACAAAGGTTGAGTTTTCGGGGTCCATAGCTTGAAGGTCTTCAAGGGCATGAAGAGCGGGGCTGGGGGACTGATCACTTATGATCACTTCTTTCGGTGTATGGGCCAGAACATGCCGTGGTCCAAGCTCTCAATGCGAGTGCTCGATCGGTGTATTGCATGGTTGTATCGAGTGGCAGCCCCCAAAGCGTGGACCTGTGAGCATCATGTGCCGGCTATGCCCTAATTTCAGGGGTAACCCAGACAAACCCAAAGCCCAGAAAGTTTTGTTCCACCCTCAGAAGTAGGCGCGGAGACATTGGCTTTGTTCAAGAACCTCTTCTTAGTCTAGGCACAAGCCTGGAAGCAAGGGAACAGCCCAGCACGACGTTGCTTAAGTAGTGTTCACAGCCCAGAAAGAACAAAGCAAAAAACCCTAAACCCGAAACCCTTGGCTCCTTGGAGATGGTGCTGCAGAAGCCGGAAACCCATCCCGGTGAGGCCGGCGGCAAAGGACTCAGCATGAAGGCTGCCCCGGAGGCTCTGCGAAGTTGAGGGTGTACTGCAAAGGGCCTGTTTGAGGGCTTTCTGTGGCTTTGTTAGGCTTATAAGGTTCAGGGTGTTTAGGGGCCATGGGCTCTGTACCTCAAGGGCATTTAAACCCCAAGGTGTTTGGGCACCTAACCTGTTGCGAGTTGTGACGGAAGGCCGTGCGAGGGTGGCAAACAAGCAGCACAAAAATATGCCACTTGTAGACAAGTGACCGCCCCCAGGAAAAAAACTCCAGTTTCTTGAAGATCGGTAAAGCCGTGCAGCCCTGACTGAACACCAGGGACGAATACCCCTCTGAAGCCCTAATTAGACAACCCCCTCCATCAAACCCCCCAAAAACCCAAATCGCCTGGGGAGGCGCCCTCCGTGGAGCTGCCGCCGACGGTGGCCGCCAAGGCCGAGAAGGCTGGCTTGAAGGACCCCGGAATGGTTCAGCTTCCTCAGTGGTTGTGTAGGGTCGAAGATGGGTTTCAAGGGCAAAACGGGTCTACTGTAGGGCCTGGAGCCAGGTTCAGGGGTTTAAAGTCCTGCTTCAACGGAGGTTTTGAGGGTAGTTGGAGGCTACATGTGCCTGCCTTCAGAGAATCACGTGGAGTAATCGTTGAGAGGGTCCTGGTGCAGCAGAGGACCAGCTCATGAAGCTGGCTGTGCGCCCAGACATGGTGAACAGCTTCTCGGTTGCGCTTGGGCTCACTCGTCTTTGTGGGAGTGGATGCTTTGCTAGCACCCGCTAAGTATGCAAAGTGGAGAGGCCTTCTCTGCGATTGGCATCTCTTCATCTAGTTCTGATGCCGTTGTTGCGGATTTTGCTGCAGTTGTGACACCCAGCTGGCTGCGAGAGCACGTCAAACATTGGCTCAGCCAAACGCGTCCTTCACAAATGAAGTTCTACACTTGCGAGCGTGGCTAGACAAAACCCCTGAACACTGAAGATCTGCACCAGGCGGCAAGAGCCACAGCGCCATGCTCAAAGCTTTGGAGGACTCTGCAGTCTCTGCAGTATGAGGTATGCGGTATTGAGTCGCTCCGTGTGTCGGAGTTGGGGCTTCAGTTTTAGGATGGATTGGGGTTCTTCTACTGCTCCAGGGATGTGTTCAGCAAGGAGACGGTTTGTGTGGCCCTAGAGTTCTAAACACACTCAAGCACAAGCCGTGTGCTCCCCAGTGTCGGTGGGCTTCAGGGCTCCAACCCAAACTTTCTCAAGAAACGGGGCTCGAGCCCTGCTCTGAACCCGCAGGAGTCCGGTGGCTTGATCCACCCGGCGAAGAGAGCTTTGCTCGGGGCCTGATCGGAGTGCCATGCCGATCGGGGGTTCATAGTGAGGGCGCTTTCGGGGATTCGGGGCTCACTCTGTGGTTCACGAAGCCGACGCCCTTGCAATGACTCTGCAAGCGTGTGGAAGGCTTTATTATGCTTTATTTAGGACGTGCCGGGCGCTTGGGCTGTCGGGACTAAACTGCAGAGAGCGCAATCGCCGGGGCGTGATTGCGCCCTAGGCTCCTTTGCAGGGACAATCGATGCACTGTCCCAGCTTGCCTCATGTTTCCAGACAAGGGGGTATGTCACCGCGCGAATGACCAAAAGCCGGCCGCTGTCGGGCTGTCCGTGTCAAGTCTGAGAATCCAAACCCAGAGATCCTTCAACTTCGATAATCCCTAAGTCGAAAGTCGGGGGTCCTCAAGCTCCAAACCCGAAGTCCTCAACCAGAAGCCCAAGCAGTGGATGCACCTGGCATCCCGCATTCTGCTGCTGCCCATGCTGAAACGCTGGTGGGCATGCGTGGGAGCACGGTGGGTGAATTTTCAGATGCCCCCCTCTCACACAGACCTGGGGCCTGCTGGTGTCAGTCTCAAAGGCAGGGGCGCGCCCTCTTTCTCCGTGCTTGGCACTTCTCGCACTTTCTCTCACTTCCTCCTCCGCAGCCATGGCCTGCGAACAGTGGCTGGCAGAGTATGGGGCGGAGCTGCAGAAGGAGGTGGGCCCAGGGAAGCCGGCGTGCGAGGTGGCCAAGCTGGCCGGAGTCCGCTTCAAGGCCCTCAGTGAGGACACCAAGGCCATCTACCAAAAGAAGTTTGAGGAGGCCAAGGCGAAGTACGATGCAGACATGGCCGCCTTCCTCGAAGCCGGCGGCGAGAAGAAGAGCATCAAGAGGAAGGCGGAGAAGTCCGCCAAGCGCAAGAAGGACCCGGCTGCACCGAAGAAGCCTGCGGGGGGTGCCTTCGGCTGCTTCCTTGCCAAGAACCGGGCCACTTTCACGGAGGAGTGCAAGGGCCAGCCGGTCACCGCCATCACCAAGATGGCCTGCGATCGATGGAAGAAGATGAGCGAGGAGGAGAAGAAAGTCTTCCGAGAGGACTACGAGGCCAAGAAGGCCGAGTACGAAGAGGCCATGAAGTCCTACGTGCCGACAACGACGCCGAGAAGCCAGTGACTGGATCGCTGCAGCAGTACACGCTTTTCGGTGATTGTCCCGTGCTTGTGTCTACGACGTGTCAGATCTGTTGCATGTTCGGTACAGCTTACATACATTCCACGGTAAAACTTCCGTAAATCTCAATGCTTTTGGTGGTCCCAAGCGCTCTTCTGGTGTTTCTTTTTCCGGGGGGCCCGTGTGCCCGGCCCAGGCCAAGAAGGCGTGGCTGTCCCCGGAGCTGAAGGAAGCGGCCAAACAGAGCAAGGATGCAGAGAAAGCGCAGGCCAAGGAGAGCAGGCCAAGGAAGACGCCAAGGCCTCCAAAGGACTGGGCCAAAATTCCCTTAGAGCCCTAAACTCTTGGGAGATGCAGAGGTGCTCCCCAGGACACCCGTGTCGGTGGCTTTAGAACCCAACGTCAAATCCTCAAGCTTTCAGGTTTTGAAGTTTCAAGGACTTTACGGAACGGGGCTTAAGCCTTAAGAGCTCTGAACCCGAAGGAGTCCGGCGGCTTGATCCACCCGGCGAAGCGAGCCTTGCTCGGGGCCTGATCGGAGTGCCATGCCGATTCATAGTTCATAGTTAGGGTGCTTTCGGGTCTCACTCTGTGGTTCACGAAGCCGACGCCCTTGCAATGATTGTGTGTGCGCGTGTGGAAGCCGACGGGATTCATTTGGGACGTGCTGGGGCGCTTGGGCTGTCGGACTTCATTGCAGAGAGCGCAATCGCCGGGGCGTGATTACGCCGTATGCTCCTATGCAGGGACAATCGATGCACTGTCCCAGCTTGCCTCATGTTTCCAGACAGGGGGGGTATGTCACCGTGCGAATGACAAAAGCCGACCGCAAGCTGTCCGTGTCAAGCCTGAGAATTGAGTCCGAACCCTAAGATGCAAGCCAGTACCTTGAATCAAACTCATTGTCTGGCCCCCTTTTTTCCCCAAGCAAACAAAAACGAGGGCCCTCAAGAGGTCTCCAAACCTACATAAGGGTAAGAGGCCCAGCACTGCTAGTTCACCAGCAACAATGGTCCCTTTTGGTGCCCTAAAGACAATGGGCCGTACTAAACCCTAAAGGCCCTAAACCCGAAACCCGAAACCCTAAACCCTAAACCCTAAACCCACATGGTCTGCCTCTTTGCTTCTGCTTTGTTGAGTCTGCGCGCAGGAGAAGCGGGGCATGCTTGACTACGCGAAGTTTGTCTGGAGCCTGTCATGCCCGCATGGTGAGCCCAAAGATCCAAGCGGTCCTCCAAGCCCACGGTCACCCCACTGCTGAAGGAACTCCTCTTCCTCAACAGCAATAGGGATCTTGATAAGGGTGAACCCTCGCGGCCCTCACCCTCAGCAGCAAAAGTTCGAGTTCGAAGCTCACTTGAGGTGAACTTCATCCGACCTTTCTTGGAGGGCGCCATCAACGGCACGCCGCTGACTGCGAGCGCGGCCCTCGGGTGAAGCACAGAGGTGTCTCCCAAACCCCCCTAAAGCCTAAACCCTAAACTCCAAACACTAAACTCTAGGCCCTAGACCCTAAACCCTAAACCCCAAAACCCCTAAACCCTAAACCCAAAAATCCCCGAACTCCGACCCCAGGGTGCATGGCGAGGCGGGTGGCAGAAAACGAGGGTTTAGGGTTTAGGGTTTTGGGGTTTAGGGTTTAGGGTTTAGGGTTAAGGCCAAGTTCGGGTTTGCAGTGTTTAGGGTTTAGAAACCTGCCTGGTGGCAAACAGAACCCAAACCTCAGGGTGTCCTGGAGCCCAGGCCTAGAACGTCCGAACTCCCCACAGCAGACCAGAAATCTCGACCCAAGTGCCGTTTAGGGTTTAGGGTTTAGGGTTTAGGGTTTAGCTTTTTTTTGTCCGGTTTAGTTCTTCCGGGTTTAGGGTTTTGGGGCATAATGAGACTGTTATGCGGAGTGGAGATCCTAAACTAAACCCTGCACTAAACCTGAAACATTGAATCCTAAAGAGTCCCTGCTTTCGTCCCTTAGCTTGAAGCCACAGAGCAAAACAAAGAGGAGACCTCACAAGCTGCCGCGGTGCGTTGCTGCCTCGGGGGGTTTCTTGAGAGTAAAACCCTGAAACCAAAAAGACTGCAACCCTATAGACTAAGGGTGGTCATAAGGGGTTTAGGGTTTAGGTTTGGGGTTTAGGGTTGGACTGGGCTGAACAAGGGTTTAAGGTTTGGGGGTTTCTGATCCACCGGCTTCTTGTGAGGCATTTGGGGGAGTTTCAACAGTCAGCGCGCTTTTGGGATCAGGGATGTGGAGTAGGAGGTATGGCGTTAGGTGACTCTTGAGTGGTGGGGGTTAGGGTTTCGGGTTTAGGGGTGTAGGGGTTAGGGGCAAAAAACGGGGTGCAGTGACGATGAATGTTCTGATCAGTTTGTGCTGCTTGCTGATACTTTGTTTTATCTCATGCCTCAGAGCATGTCCTCAGACCCCCAAGGCCCAAAAACAGCGGTTTAAGGGCATGCGCCCAGTATACAGGACGGCTGAAGTAAGGGCTACTTCTCCCACAGTGTGCGTTGTGCTTGGATAGCAGTCTGCTGATGCCGGGCCCTGCGACGTTCTGAGGCCTGACACGGTTTTGGAAGACATGTTGGAGGCCCGGGGGCCCCCACATCTGTTGGGTTTAGGGTTTAGGGTTTTGGGATTGAGATTTAGGGGGGAGGATTTGAAGCAGCTGCCAGATTCAAAAGGGTTTGGGTTTAGGGCACAACCAAGTTGCGTTGATCCTGGCAAAGGGGTGGCCGTTCCCTTTTTTCCTAAGCACGAAGCACTGTAGACCCTGAGCGCCGACTGTAGGTTTAGGTAGGGTTTAGGAGGGTTTAGGTTTGGAGTGTAGGGTTTAGCCCCCAGCCCAGTTGCAAAAAGGGTTTAAGGCTTCCCAGACGGGACCCTGAGGGACTAAGGCCGAAGCAACCCTTCATCCCATGGTGTGCAGGCCACGGCGGAGCGCGAAGACCAGCCGCGAGCACAGAGGGTTTTCATAAAAACCCCAAAGCGGGTTTAGGGTTTAGGATTTAGGGTTTAGGGTTTTAGGGAGTTCTCTCTGACCTGAAACCCTGAGCTCTGATCTTACTGTAAAGCAATGCGGTGCATAGCTTTGCCGGACAAGTAGAGCAGTTGCAATTCAGACTTTGGGGTACTGTTATAGGCTCGCTTGGTTTTTTTGTAGTTGGATACAGTAGTTTGTTTTTGGTTTTGACTGATGTTTGGTTGCGGTGGTGCCTGCTAGAGGAGGATTGCGAAAAACGAAGCACGCTTTTGTTTGGTCGACCTTCCAAGCACGCAGTGCCATACGTTTGCTGACTCTTCACCCTAAGCCAGAGCCCAACCCCCAACCTTCTCAACTTAACCCCCAAACCCTAAACTAAACCCTCAACCCTAGACCCTAAACCCTATACCCTAATCCCTAAACCTAAAACCCAAAACCCTCAACCCTAGAGCCCCTTTTGCCAACCTGGAGGCTGCACGAGTTCGACGCGAAGTTCCAGGTCCAGTTAGCTAGAGGGTTTAGGGCCTGGGAGGGTTTAGGGTTAAGGATAAACAGGGCTAGGGATTAGGGTTTAGGATTGAGGATAAAAGGAGGGTTTAGGCTAGGAGGTTTAGGATTAACGATAACGCTAACAAGGGCTGAGGGTTTAGGGTTTAGGAGGATCGTTGAGATCTGTGTACCTGCCAAAGTTTCCAAATAGGTGTGCAATTGTCATGCTTGTTGCCCAGCTGTGCACCTGGGTTCAGAAAGGAGAGTTTAGGATTAAGGATAAGAAAGGGCTTAGGGTTTAGGGTTTCGAACAAAATTCAGGGTTGTCCCTGTTGAGGCGAAGAAGACCCGCAATGCCTACACAAAGTTAGTGTCTACGTGGCCGCTATGTTTCGGATCCTCCTGGGGCGCTCCTGGATGCGTGTTCAGGGATCGCGCGACAACCTGAAAGTTGGATTCCTGAGCCCGAAGCCCTGCGCGGCACGTTTCCACATCCCCGACCAAACGCCTTGAAGAGTGATGATGCCATCTTTGGCAAGGAGTCCATGAGGATCCTCACCAGGAAGGCAGCACCGAGGAATGAACGGTTTGCTGAAAGTTTTGGTTTCAGGGTGCGCCCCTCAAATTGCAAATTTCATCCTTTTCTAATGCCGATAAAGCCACAATGTAAACCGTCCCAAAGCAGTCATTCTAGTTAAAGATCCCCTAAGTAGCATGGAGGGTCTGGACCTTTTGAAGCAGCTGCCGTTTGCCTCAGATCTGTTTTTGTGCGCTGCTGGCTGGTTTCTACCCTGGCTTTGAAGGGTTTAGCTTGGGATGTTCCACTTATACTTACAGCCCTTAGTAGATTATAGTACCCCCTATTATACTCCCTACTAGGGATTGTTAGCAGAAGGGGGGGCATCCCGAGGCTTAGCGTTTTAGGGTTTCGGGTTTCTATAGGGGTCAGGTTTAAAGGGCGAGAGTCTCGAAGCTTGCTGTCAAAAAGGGGCCAGAAAACGCTGAAATCCGGGCCCCCAAGCCCTGGAACCGCCGGAAGCCCCCGTGAACGCGAGATCGCCTGCTGCCCTACTAGAGGAGGCCCTGAAACCCTCGGCCCTAAGCACTAGAGGAGGCCCTGAAACCCTGGGCCCTGGGCCCAAAACCCTAAGCTTTCTTTAAACAGCCCTGAGCCCTGTCCCAGTCGGGCCGAGTTTCATGTGTTGTGTCGCGACCTGAAGGCCCCTGTAAGTTCGCACATCCCACAAAACCCCACAAAGGCAACACACTCGAAATCGGGAAGCGTACCAAGTCGAGAGCCCAAAGCCTTGACTTGTCCGTTCCAGAATTTCGGGAACTTGGTACCCTATGAAATCCTTACGGAGCCCTTTTTGAGGGCTACGGGATAGAATGCCTCAATCCCGAGTTGCCTTCCAAGACCCACATAGACCCACTCGGTTCAGCTTTAAACCCTAACCCCTCAAGGCCTACTTACCAAGTTCCAAGTTCCTAAACCCTAAACCCTAAACCCTCAAACCCACCTGGCGCAGGCCCTAGACCGATTCGGCACCCTCGCAAACGCCTTCCGCTTCGTGGCCGGGGGGCCCGCAACTCCTTCCGTCCAGGGGCGTCGGGGTATGGATGTATGATTTTGGGCTTTAGGGAGTAGTGCTTCGGGCTTAAGATTGGGGACAGGGGTTCAGGTTTAAGGGCTCAGGGTTTGGAATTTGGGTTTTAGCGTTCCGGGCGCCAGGGGGGGATCTTGTCAGACTAAGTGGGATTGGCCCCCCAAAACCTCAAGTCCTCGCAACTCCTGCGCTCCCTGTCGGCCCCTGCTACAAGGACCTGGACAGGAACTGCAACATGACGAGGACTCCCAGTCTTTCGGAGCATTGTTGCACCCGAGTATGGTCACATCTGCGACGCCATGGCTAGAGAGAACGAGCTGTGCTGCACCGTCAGCCGCACGGCAGGAACGAGACAGAGTACCTCTTCCGTCTATGCAATCTGCCAACTGTGCGGGCCCTGGCAACAGCATCTAGATCACATCACGGACGCGTTGCCGCAAGCTGTGCTATGGTTTCTTCCATGATGCCAGGCGGTGCTAGGGACTGAAGTTATGGCTGGCTGTAATGCTGCGTGCCTTTTCTTGCGATTGACAGGAGAACAATCGTGCGTCATATTTGTGAAAGAGCGGGTCGGTGCTTCAAAGTGTCTCAACACGTGGATGCTGCAGGAATTGGCAACATCGTTCCACGACGCTGTCGACACAAATGGGTCCGGCGAGATCTCCTTGCAGGCTCGATGCCAACAATCTGTACATACATGGGGGGTTTACGAAAAGTCCCTAAAGTCCCCCAAATAGTAGGATTCCCGGATAAAAATGGCCCAAATAAGGTACCCCGATTTTCGGAAACCACCACACGGCCAATCTCCAAGAATCTCCAAGAAGCTTCGCTTCGCATGCGTGTCGGGTTGTGCAGCGGAAAGCCTAAACCCTAAACCCTAAACCCTAAACCCTAAACCCTAAACCCTCAACCCTAAACCCTAAACCCTAAACCCTAAACCCTAAACCTTAAACCCTAAACCCTAAACCCCTGTGCGGCCAGGAGTTCCATGCCGCCCTCCAGCCTTACCTCAGCCCCGAGGCTCTGCAGGGCCCATGTGTCATCTGGGATGCTCCAACCCTAATCCCTAAACCCTAAACCCTAAACCCTAAACCCTAAACCCTAAACCCTTATGCTAACAGTCCTTCCTTAAAAGGGATTGTGGTCTCCCTATTATAAGCCCAAATTAAGGACTGTTAGTATGAGATGCGAACAGTCCTTCCTTAATAAGGGATTGTGGTCCCCCTATTCTAACCCCAAATGAAGGACTGTTGGTATGAGGGGGAGCATCCCAAGATGTCTTAAGAGTTCTTCTCTTTTCCTGGTGCAGCAGGACCAGAAGAAGCAGATCAAGAAAAAGAAGGACGGCACAGCTGGCGGTTCTCGATTTGGGTTGGGTGCACTGTCATGGCTGCTTGGCAGGTTGCACTCCCTAGAAGGGACCCTTACTCTTACTCCCCTAAACAACCCCCTATAACCCCTGTATATAAATACATAACTAAACAAATACATGAATATTAAAACAAAAAAAAATATATATATATATATATTACATCTTATATAGTCCCTTTACCTAAGTAGCCCCTGAACAACCCTCAGAGAACTCCTGCGGTCCCCCTCCTCCAACCCCGCAAACCCCCACAGTGGAACCCTGACGGCCTCCTGCTGCGGCTCTTAGGAGGCAGAAGGTGCCCGAGAGGGCCCACTTAGGCTGTCAGCCACAGTTTAGTGAACTTAGGGTTTCGAGGGTTTCGTGGGCTGTTCCATGCTTCAAAACCCCAGGGTCAGGATACCATGGGTTGAGGAAGGGCTCTTAAAGAAGTCGGCAGAATTTCCAGCAGAGCACAAGCAACACCTCTCTGACTTCCTCTGCTCCGGATCTCCCTCTGTTGGGTTTGAGGCTCCCCCTCAAGGATCCCAAGCCTGCGATTCGTCATGGGTCGCGACTGGGCCCAATCGGCTTCTTGGCGCCATAAGGGGCTTTCTTTGGGGGGTACAAGGCTAAGGGACCATCTCTTAGAATAACCCCAGAATGGAATGTACTACGGCAAACTCTGCATGAAGGTTCATGGGCAGTTAGCAGTTTGGGTTTCAGTAGTATTTTCTGCCACCCGGGTGACGCCCTGGTATTTCAAGCATTGCTCTATCCCTCAGAAGTAGGGTTTCATGTACCTAGGTCGTCGGCATTGTCCCGACACGACAGGCACGTGTATCACGGGGCCCCAAGATGCGGGTTGTGTTCTGGAAGGGATCCTACTTGCAAAGTTTAGGGGTTAGGCTTTATTGGGTGGGGCTTAGGGTTGGAGAGGGTCCCTCTGGCATACCTAAAAAAGGTTCAAACTAGGGACACCCTCCGTTGATGGGGGTCCCGTACAGCTTGCTTATGGAGTGTCGAGGCTCGTTGGGAAAGATTCAGGCGTCACGGGATCTTAGAGAAGTCGCGGTTGCGATCGGTCAAGGGAGCACAAGTGTCTGCTTGGCCTGAGGCTTGGCGCGGCGGCGCAAATCCACCCCGCTTTGCGGGCGGCCCGGTGCCGGCGTTGCCTCCACAGCAGGCAGAATCAATGGCAGAATCAGACCAGGGGTCGGCGGGCTGCTAGGGTATTTGCAGGGTCGTCGTTCGGTGTAAGTGGTACCACACCTATACTCATAGTTGCTTTTGCACCGAACCGTGCCAGGTAGTCCTTCTAAGTGGAGCCCCATCAGGGCAACAAGGCGGGTTCCACGTTTTGGGTGCGCTTTCCTTGGGCCCCTTTGGAGGTAGGAACCATAGGGGCCGCAGAGCTCAGCCACGAGTGCAAAACCCCCCTGCAGTTGGAGTTCCTTCCCGGCGTGGGGTGCCGCTGGTTTCGCCCAACCCGGTCTTCAGTGGCCGCATCGAGATGCTGGCCGTCTCTACCGTCCAGCTACCACCTCAGTGGATGGAGAAGCGGGACTCCGTTACCTTCTTCGCCGTGGATGTGTTCTCTGAGACCGGGACCTGTTGGAGGGTCATGCGCCGGTACAGTGACTTCCTCGAGCTGAAGGACCAGCTTGGCCATGTCAGCGCCTCTTTCCCGGCCGCCCGCTTTCCGAAGAAGCACTGCCTCAGCTGCGAGGGGTCAAGGCTGGAGGTTCGGCGTGGGGCCTTGGAGCTCTGGCTGCGACGGGCGATCGAGCACCCGCGCAGCAGCGGCGAGTGGCTGGCGCCGCTGCGCTGCTTCCTGGAGTCCGGCCGGAAGTTTATGACCATCACAGACTCGAGTGCCCCTCCAGCGGCCAGCGACCACGAGGATGACATGATGTTGGAGATAGTCGTGCCTCCTGGTGTTAGAGCAGGCGTGGCACCTCCGATGGTTTTTTTTGGTAAGCCTCACTGAATGCTTGATTTTCCCTGCCAGGCCAGCCTCTGACAGTCGCAGTGCCCGATGGAACCCTTACAACCGTGACCTTGCCCAAGGACTTGCAGCTTTAGGGAGAACAGCGTGGTAGGAGCAGTCAGAGCATTGGCGTTGCTTGCCCTACCGCCTTTGACAGGACGCAGTGCCTGGTTCGAAGCTGGACTTGCGCTACAGCTGCTCAACAAAGATTCTGACGCTGGTCGCCCGCAAGTAGTCCTTTCAAGAAGGGAGATGGAAACAGCCCGGCACTTTGAAGAAGCTGTTCGTTGTGCAAGAGCCAAACTCTATGCTCTGCCCCAGTAGAAAGAATTCGCCAGCGGCTGCGGATGCTTCGCCACAAGATGCCACAAGTAAGTGTCTTTCCTCAGCCAGCTTTGATTGCTTTGCCTCCCCTTCGCCTCCGTGGAGGGCTTGCAGCAGATGCAGAGGGCTAGGCAGCGAGTAAAAGGATGCGGCAGTATGTGAGCTGAACGCGTTCCATGGGCTGCCCACGAGATTATGGGGGGTTTTGCACAGGGGAGCTTTCGCAAGCGGCAGGGAAGCCGGAGGCAAATGGTTGCAGCTGGCAGATATGCAGCATCTCTAGCACCCTCAACCTTAAACTCCAAACCCCAAACGCCAAACCCTAAACCCGAAAGCCTAAACCCTAAATCCTATCCCAGGACTACCTCCTGAAGCCATACACTCCCGAGCCTGTGCCCCAGCGACTGTCCGAGTGGTCCTGCACATCTCAGGTCAGGCCCTGAAATTCGATCCTTCCGGCCCCAAACTCTTAAACCCCCAAAAGCCCAAAGCCCAAGCCCCGCAACTTTAGGCCCAACATTATTAGGGCTTAGGGTTGAGGGTTTAGGGACCCTCCACCCCCAACCTTAAACCCTAAACCCGAAGTGGTTTCAGCCTCTTGCGCCCAGGCAGCCAGAGGCCGATTCTGGGAGCAGCAGACGCGTGCCTGCCTTTGCCGGAGTGCTTGCGCAAGAGTAACTTGCTTGAGGGTTCATGGGTAGTTATAAGGTAGGGTTATGAGCAAGGTAACTTATATTATGATCTGAATTAGGGCACTGACAACCCTATTTAGAACTACCCATGAACCTTCAAGTCTGCGTCCGGTTGGTCTCCCTGCAGTATCAGTTATGATCCCTAAACCCTAAAACCGACGCGTCACCCGTGGCTCACGCGGAAGGGGGCTTGTCAGGTGGGACGATGTGTAAGGTAGAAAAGCCATAGCCGCCTTAGAACCAAAAAATAGGTCTTGAGGAGAGAATCTCCTGCAAGATTCCCCGAACCAGTCCACCTCAAGTATCGTTCCGACACGCTTACAGCATGCTGCTTCAGTGCGCAGCCTTGGCATGTTTCTCCCCAAATAGAAGAGCTTTTCTAGCGAGACCCACTTCATTTTTCACTGCGTGCCACAATTACCCTTAATCCCTATATCATCCTTATAGCGCCATAATAAAGTAACTTTGTAGGGGCCCGCAAGCCTATCCCAGTACACCAGAGCTTATGAAATTGGTTCCAAATGTGCAGCATGCCAGGGGCCCCTGATATCTAGGGGTGCCCCAAGGAAGCCTGCAAGTAGGGGCTCTCATTCCGACGGCTGGCTCGACTTGGGTTCTGAGGGTTTAGGGTTTAGGGTTTAGGGTTTAGAGTTTAGAGGTCTGCCTTGAGGCCGTGAGCAAGGAGTGGAACAAGCACGTGGACTTCGAGCTCCGCAACGAGCTCCGCAGGATCATGCAGGACTCCGCTGACCAACTACCCAGGGCGGCTTAGGGTTTAGGGTGTAGGGTTTAGGGTGTAGGGTTTTGGGTGTAGGGTTTAGGGTGTAGGGTGTAGGGTTTAGGGTGTAGGGTGTAGGGTTTAGGGTTTCAAGTCCATTTTCAAAAGGGTTTAGGGTTCAGGGTTTAGGGTTTAGGGTTTAGGACTCATCGTCACCATTTGGTGCCCTTGGCATTTGGGGGCCGATGGCACGCTAAAGCCCGAAATCCCTAAAACCCTAAAACCCTAAAACCCTAAAACCCTAAAACCCTAAAACCCTAAAACCCTAAACCCGTAAAACCCTAAAACCCTAAAACCCTAAAACCCTAAAACCCATAAAACCCTAAAACCCCAAAACCCCAAAACCCTGAAACCCTGAAACCCTGAAACCCTAAACCCCTAAAACCCTAACCCCTAAAACCCTGAAACCCTAAAACCCTGAAACCCCAAAACCCCAAAACCCCGAAACCCTGAAACCCTGAAACCCATAAAACCCTAAAACCCTAGACCCCTAAAACCCTAAGCAAGCCCCTTCCTGAAGTGGAGACTCTGAGGGTAGTTTCACGGGCCCAATGGGTTCTGATGTATGGGTCCTTAATCCCCTAAAACCCTAACTCTGGCCCATGGTGGCTCCTGTGGCGACTCTTGTGAGCTGGGTTTCTCAGGACGTGGGCGACAAGCTCCACTTGAAGTTCAAGCACGTCCGGGATGCCTTCCGGCCCCTGAACTTGCAGAGGCACTGAGCTGTTTAGGGTTTAGGGTTTAGGGTTTAGGGTTTAGGGTTTAGGGTTTAGGGTTTAGAGTTTAGGGTTTAGGGTTTAGGGTTTAGGGTTTAGGGTTTAGGGTACCATGTTAAGGGACCATGGAACCTCCCTGAGATGAGGGGCATTGCGCACAAGGAGTCCTGGCTCATAAGCCCTAAACCCGAAACCCCAAACCCCAAACCCCAAACCCCAAACCCTACTGTAAACCCTACTGTAAACCCCAAACCCTAAAACCCTAAACCCCAAGCCACAAATCGAGAAGTGTACCAAGTGAAAAAAAAACCCCAAGCCCCAAACCCTAAACCCTAAGCCCCAAACCCCAAACCCTAAACCCCAAACCCCGAGCCTCAAAAACCCTAAGCCCGCGACCCTGCTGGGAGGCACGGCAAGATCACGCGCGAAGAGATGTGGAACTTCTTCCGAGGTTTCGGTCATCCCCAGGAGAAGCATTGCGTTTTTGTTTGCCCATTTTTGTTTGGGTGTTTTAGGGGTTTAGGGTTTAGGGTTTAGGGTTTACTGTTTAGGGTTTAGGGTTCAGGGTTCAGGGTTCAGGGTTCAGGGTTCAGGGTTCAGGGCTAGGGATTATTTTGGTTTCTTGTTGGAGTTGTTTAGGGGTTTTTGAGGTCTTCGACGATGAGTGTCGGGTTTTGGGGGGTTGATGTGCAGTCCAGGAAACTTTCAAGGGACTGAAGGAGGGACCCTCATGAGGGACCTTAGAAGCCTTAGGGGCTCTTTGGGGGTTACTTTCGAAGACAGGGACTGGATTATCGTACCTCCCTGTTCATCCCTTTTAAGGACTGTTTCGATTTGGGGGACTCTATAAGGTATACATGGTTACCCTAAACCCTAAACCCTACTGTAAACCCTCAACCCTCAACCCTCAACCCTCAACCCTCAACCCTCAACCCTCAACCCTCAACCCTCAACCCTCAACCCTCAACCCTCAACCCTCAACCCTCAACCCTCAACCCTCAAACCCTCAACCCTCAACCCTCAACCCTCAACCCTCAACCCTCAACCCTCAACCCTCAACCCTCAACCCTCAACCCTCAACCCTAAACCCTAACCCTAAACCCTAAACCCTAAACCCTAAACCCTCCCCGAGTTCTTCCGCTTGCGTTCGATTCAGGAGGTGGCAGATCGCATCTTCGACCTTCTCGACCGGGAGTGCTCATGTAATCCCGGGGGTTGGGGTTTAGGGTTTAGTGTTTAGGGTTTAGGGTTTGGGGTTTAGGGTTTAGGGTCTAGGGGGCACACATGGTTTCGCGGGCACAACTCGGGAGTCTGGAGAACCTAAACCCTGCTTGAAAGTTGTAGGTTAGAAATATAATAGACCTTTGCCGGACCTGTAACCTTACTGCCGTGATCCCCCCAACCTGTCACACCGTCTCGCTTGTATGACCTTGTAGATGCAGTGTCCAACCCTAAACCCTAAACTCTGGGGTCTGTTTTGAGGTCTGTCCTATCATAGGGGACCCCCCAAAATGACCCTGATTCTCAGAGCTACGTATGTACGGAGTCGCCGTACTCCGGGAATGAAGCGAGCTCTTATCGTTTACACGACAGATAGAATCGGCAACCCTATGCCCTAAACGCCAAGCCCAAAAATCTGAGGGTAGTTCTTCCCTTACGTCCTTTAAAGAGTTCTGAAGTACGGGCCCTTGGCTTTTATATGGTACGTAAGGGGTACATAAAGGTCCCCTTTTAAGGGCCCATATGAAGGGAGCATGTAGCTATCCGAAGACAAAACCCTGAAGCCTGAACTGCGCCGAGACGATTTCAGGGTGGGGAAGTGATGCAAAGGGCTCTTATGAGTGGCCTCCCCCACCCCCTAAACCCTAAACCCTAAACCCTGAACCAGTTTGAGGAGAACCCCCTAGACCCCGAAACCCTACCCCCTTTTTGCAGCACCCGCCCGCCTCGGGGTCTTGGCTCAGGGGTTGTGGGTTTAGGATTTAGGGTTTAGGGCATGGGGATGCCACGGGTGAGAGGCGTGCTGGGCTGCGGTCGCGTCCGCCCGGTTGAGTAGCAGGGGTCGACTTGAGGCCCAGCGCTTGAGACTCTCAACCCTAAGCACAGAAAAGGGGCTGTTCTCCAAGTTATGATGCCCCAAGTTGGAGGTGGGGGTTTTCGACGGGGAAGTCAGAAAGGGTTTGGGTACCCTGAGTATAGGCTCCGTATTACAACACGAACCGATAAACCCGAAATCGTGCGAGTGTGAGCGTCGAAGCCCTAAACCCCTAATCCCTTAATCCCTTAAACCCTTAAACCCTTAATTCCTTAAACCCTGAAGCCCTTAACCCGAAATCCTAACCCTGCACAGGGGCCTGAGTTTAAAGATCTGACCAAAAACGAAGCTGGCAGGAGGGAAAAGGGGAGATCGAGTACTCGGTCTTCATGACCCACTTCGAGTCGGTTCTCGGGCACGGACCCCGGTTTAGGGTTTAGGGTTTAGGGTTCAGGGCTTAGGGTTTAGGGCTTTGGGCTTAGGGCTTAGGGCGTGACCCTGAAACCCTGAACTCTAGTCACTACTAGTCCCCCGGTGCCGATTTTGTTTTGGGCTTCGAGTTTTAGAATTAGAATAGAAAAGATAGAAATCTTTTCAAGTAAATGAACTTGTTCAACTACTCCAAGGCTCTAGTTGCGAAAGGTCTTACTGGCAGAATCTAAGCTTTGGGGGCAATCTGGGTTGTCGAAAGGCGCGGGGAGTTTAGTCAGTTCCTGAACTATTTCAACTCATGGGGTTTTGTGGGGGTGTAGGGCTGCAACCTTCAACCCTCAATGCCCAAGCCCAAAACCTTCAAAGCCCCGGCCCTTACCTTAAACCCTCAGATTCATCAGAAAGAAGCAGCCCTTCGGGCCCTCGGACAGTTGCCCTGCCGTGTGCGACCCTGACAACCCTAAACCCTAAACCCTAAACCCTAAACCCTAAACCCTAAACCCTAAACCCTAAACCCTAAACCCTAAAGCTTAGACCCTAGACCCTAGACCCCAGACCCTAGACCCTAGGCCCTAGACCCTAGACCCTAGACCCTAAACCCTAAATCCGAAACCCTAAACCCTAAACCCTTGGTGCGGCCTGTCCTTCCAGGCTGCAGTGCTCAAGGCTAATGCTTCGAGCTGTACTTTCACCCTCGACCTGCTACTCGTTGCCTCGCCCGCGCATGCCAGTGTGAGAGTCGAAACCCCAAACCCTAAACCCCAATCCCCAAACCCCAAACCCTAAACCCTAAACCCTGAACCCTGAACCCTAAACCCTGATTCCCTCGGTCCAGGCGCGACTTCCGCAACATCTCGGAGGAACCGCCGATCCATGTGGACGACCCCATCGCAAGCAAGGAGGCCGCTCCTGGGGGTTTGGGTTTCACCCTCAACCCGAGCCCCTAACCTGGTGCAGAAAGTACCTCCCCCTGCTCGCCAGGTCAACGAGACGGCTGACATGCTGAAGCCTCCGCCTGAGAGAGCTAGGACTCGAAATGGAAGACCATCTTCCCGGCACGTTGAGTCGCTGTCTCTTCAAAAATAAGGCAAAGCCTCAAGGCTTTCGGCTTCCCAAACGCCCTGACGGCCCCCAAGCCCTAAGCCCTAAGCCCGAAGCCCAAACGCAGAAACCCAAAGAGTGAAGGCGCCGCTTGCTCACCCGGTCCAGGAACATGCAGGAGGCCTGGAGAGCTAAAGACCCCCTGCGTCAAGGAACGCTTTTCAGGCACCTACATTTGGGGTGTGTGATGATATACTATGTGACATATGATTCTTGATTATGTATGATATTTTTTTCTCTCTCTCTCTCTCTCTATGTATGTATGTTCATACGTTAACACATTTCAACGTGCATATATATATATATATAGAGAGAGATATATGCATCTGTATATATATATATATATATAGATATGTAGTTTTTTGTTTGTTTGTTTGTTTGTTTGTTTGTTTGTTTGTTTGTTTGTTTGTTTGTTTGTTTGTTTGTTTGTTTGATTGTTTTATGTATCTATATCCAATGTTGTGTATTCTTTTGTTTTGTATTCCTTAAGCCAGCGAAACCAAGCCTGAGGAATCCCTCAGGCCGTGCCTTTCATACTGATCATGCCGCCGCCGAGTCAAACGACTACACCGCAACGAGGAAGTTGCTTCGAGTTCTCTGAGTGAGCCGGGTTTGCGTGTTATCGGGCTTAGGGTTTTAGGGTTGGAAAGGTTTTCTGGATGTCATTTCTGTCGGGTACCCTGTGTCGCGAAAGTGGTACCGAGTGTGTGTGTGTGTGTGTGTGTGTGCGCGGTGCGTGTAGTTGCTTGGGCCCTAAACCCTAAACCCTAAACCCCAAGCCCTAAGCCCCAAACCCTAAGCCCTAAACCCTAAGCCCTAAACCCTAAGCCCTGAAGTCGGCCTTAAACCTCTTCCATGCCGTGCTGTCCCCTCCCAACTGCGGTAGGCGTTCCGGTACTTGGATTCCGACCACGACGGTCAGGCGCGCTTTCGTGTGGGCAAGGGGGTTTAAGGCCCGCGCTCCCTCAACCAAGACCCTCCAGCCGCTGAGCTCAAATCAGGTGTCCGAAAATAGGGGTACCCTTTTGGGAGGTCCTACAAGATGGATTATGGTATGTTGGGGTATGTGCAGGGATCCCTTTTTTCTGGGAAATGCCCATGTTTGAGCTTGAAATTTACTAGACCTTGAGTCTCAGAGACAGCAGGTTTAGGGTATAGGGTTTAGTCCGGCTGCAAAAAGGGTGTAGGGTTTGACTGACAGGGACATGATCGGATCGGGCGAAGTCTCTTGGAAAAAGGGTTTAGGGTTTAGGGGGGTTTAGGGTTTAGGGTGTTAAGGTTTATATAGGGTTTAGGGTTTAGGGTTTAGGAATCCCAAGCCCCAAGCCCTACTGTAACCGCCGCTCCAAAGCAGGTCAGCAAAGCCGAGCTTCGCTCTTTTGGAAAGAAGTGCGAGCCCTGGGAGCCTCGTGGGATTGTTGCGGTTTGGGGGTTTGGGGTTACAGGGTCTTGGGGGTTTCAGGGAATGGGGCTTCGGCATGTTTTTTAAAAAGGAGGGTTAGGGTTTGGGGTTTATGCTTCCCCCAGTCGGGCGGCCCCAAAGGCCCCTAGCAAAAGGGTTTCGGGTTTCGGGTTTAGGGTTTCGGGTTACGGGTTTCCGGGTTCAGGTTTAAGGTTTAGGTCCAAACCTATTTGAAGGTTCATGGGTTGCTTGGAGTTTGCTTTAAGGCTACATGTACCTTAGCCAAGGTCATAAAAGGCAGTTGCCCTCTTCATTTTCTTCTATCCTTACCCATCCTCAACCCTAAGCCCTCAAGCAAAACGCACCAAAAACAGAATATATAAATAAATAAATAAATAAATAAATAAATAAATAACTAAATAAATAAATAAATATATATATATATATATATATATATATGTATAGTAGGTGATCGACATAGCTCAGGTTCCCAACTGCATCTTTCCCTTTTAACAACCGCAGAGGGGCCCTAAGTAATATCCCAAGAAGGACCTTTGGATCCACCCCCCCCTGCCTCTTCCCCCCCCTGTGTATGTGCCCATGAGCTCGGGATCACCAACCCAAGGGTTAAGGGTTTAGGGTTTAGGGATTAGGGTTTAGGGTTAGGGTTTAGGGTTAGGGTTTAGGGTTTAGGGTTTAGGGTTTAGGGTTTAGGGTTTAGGGTTAAGGGTTAAGGGTTTAGGGTTTAGGGTTTAGGGAGGCTTCGGGTTCATGGTCAGGTTTTGGGGGTCGAGATTTGAGGGCTCCCAGCCGAACGCTACAAGCCAGGGTGCAAGGAGGGTTGAAGGTGGAGGGCTTTTGCGCATGTCGGGGGTGCGGGCTCTAGTTGCAGGTTCCTATGCCGAAACAAGACACCCTCATGGCCCTTGTTTTGGGTAGGTGGGTGTAGTAGTAGCCCCCCCACCTTGCTGTAGCCCTAAACCCAAAACCCTCATCAGCTATCCGGAAGCGAGCAACACATCCGGCAGTCTTGAGCTCCAAGCCCTGCAGTAAGCGTAAAATTCCGAAACCCCCAAACCACCAAGGAAGAACAAACCCGAAGCCCCGAACCCGAAACCCCAAACCGCCGCAAAATACTCAACACCTCGCAGGGTCGGCGTTAGCAGTGAGTCCTGCGACCAGCTCTTCCATGCGCTGGACGTGGAGGGCGTGGGCGACGCGCCAGCGCTTAAAGGGTTTAGGGTTTAGGGTTTAACTAAGGGGTTTAGGAGCTGACACTCGGACACAGTACACGACAGAGAGGGAGGGAGAGAGACGAGACTGAGGAGGCTTCGCAGCAGATTTCGAGAAGATATTTTGGAGCTGCGGGGAGGGGGCTAAGCCCGCTGAGAAGAAGAGAGAGAGAGAGAGCGAGAGAGAGAGAGGGGGAGAGACAGCGAACGGAAGCTCCCTGGGGGGCCCTCTTGCTGGGTAGAGAACGGAAGGAAGAGAGAGAGAGAGTTTTGAGGCTTTAGGAAGTTGGGGGGAGAGGCGCGTCCAGGGTTATTGTTTGTTGTGCGAGCGGGGGCTTGGGTCGCTTCGTCCTCTGGTCGGTTCGAACAAGTGTGAACGGCTCAATGCCGGGGAGCAGCGAAACTTTGGAAGGGGGAGGGGTTTGGGAGGATTTGGGAGGTCATGGGTTTGCACACGTCAAGCCTCCTGTTTACCGAAACCGTGATCCCTAAACTGCAGGCTTCAGGTCGTGGTTTGTGCTGGTCAGTGCGAGTTCGTCTGGTGTTGACCTACTGTTTTGGCCTTGGGGCTAGCTTGGTCAGTCGGAACATTTCCAATGGAAGTGCGCCTTGGTCTTCCCAGGCATGCATAGGTTTTGTTTGTGCTAGGGTAGCCTTATCGTTGACAATGGGGTGTGTTCTTTGAAAGGCGAACTGTCTGGCAAGATTCGTAAACGCGCTTGTCAGTCTCGACACCAGCATTGTGCGTGCCCACTCGGTTCTGTTTTATGTTTTTTTTCTTCATTTTGCCTTGTTTCTTATCCTTGTATATCCTTGTGTGTATTTGGCAGGAGGTTTTGCGGCGGCCGTGTGTAACACATGGTAGAGCATGGCAAGAGAGAACGTTGTTGCCGTTGTGTTTCCCGAGGCTCGGTCAACTTCCTACAGCCCCGGCCTCGTTAGTTGACGGAATGCGGTTGGAGCATCTTCGTTACTCGCTACCTGTTGCGATGCCTGGCTTTTTTTTTGTGCAGGCGTTGCGCGTGAAGAGTCGGGCCCTAAACCTTGAGTACCCAAAATAAAACACCTCGTCTTTAGAGTCGAAACCCTACCCGAAGCCCCAAACCCTAAACCCTAAATCCGAAACTCTAAACCTTGGGGTGTGGGCCCTGAGCCCCAAAACCCGCAAGCTTTGAGTCCTGAGCTTCGGTGCTACGTGCTTCCGAGGTTTACTCAGATCTTTCCCGAGGGCAAGAACGTAGGCCTGACTATCGAGGGCTAAAACTTCTAGGGTTTAGGGTTTGGGGCTTGGGGTTTAGGGTTTCGGGTTTCGGGTTTTGGGCTTCTAGGGTTCGTGGTTTGGGGAGGCTGTTCTTGGGAATGATCGGCCCTTAGACCCTCCTTGCCTTGCACCTCCGCTGGTTCGCTTGGTTCTGGTACAGGCTTCGCCCGTGACCTTAAACAAAAAAGAAGTCATGACTCGGCTTGCATCATAGGGCCTTCCCAACGAGGGTACCCCTGGGCTACTTTGGATTGTAGGAGGTATCGGGGGGGGAGACCCTGTTGCAGCGACCTCTGTTGCGAGGCACACCCAGGTCAGTCTACGCAAGACCTGTTCCCCAACCGCCGGAACTTTTATAGAAGATTTTGAGCGATCACTTTGGTTAGGCAGGGCTCTCACCCGAACGACCTCAGAAATTTGTGGGGTCGAACCATCGGGCTTGGGCACTGTTCTTTGTTTTTCTTTTTTTTGCTTGGGATCTCCCAAGGATGTCCTGTCAGCAATTTAGGCGCTGCCCGCAAAATTGTGGCTGCAGCCATGGCCAATCCCAGGGCCAGAGGCCTTGAGGAGGCCGGGTTCCGACACTTCGAAGCCCAGTTAACGGACTCACGCGAAAGAAGCGAGGCGATTGTGAGTGGCCCTGGGGTTTAGGGTTCGCTGCTGCTCTATGACAGGATCCCCCCGTGAGCCCTGCAAATTTTGCAGGGGAGACTCGGCGTTTCGTTGGTTGGATGCCTCTTCCGCGGACCTTTCTGGTTCAAAGTTTTCGGCCTTAGGGCCTCGAGCCCTGAACCCTATCTAACCCTAGGAAAGAAACCCAAAGCCTTAGGACCCTTGTCCACCCAAAACAGCCCACAACTTACTAAAGGCATGCGCGCGGAAACCCTCAAGCTCCGCCAATTCTTGACCGAGGCATCTTTTACCACCCAAATGAAGCCTTTGTGGTACTTTACCGTATTATTTAGATCCTTACCCTTTTTTTGGGTTGATTGGGCTTCTTAATGAGGCAGCTAAAAGTTCAATTTATCGCTACCCTCCCGAGCGCAGCCAAGAAGCCTGAAGCCTTCTACCCTCCCCAACCCTGGGGACCCAGCCTTGACAAGAGTCTCGGGATTTGGGGCTGAGGAAGGACACTTTGTACCCAGCCTGTCAGGCCAAGTGGGCATGATGCACTGCAGCTCTGAACCCTAAACCCTAAACCCTAAACCCTAAACCCTAAACCCTAAACCCTAAACCCTAAACCCTAAACCCTAAACCCTAAACCCTAAACCCTAAACCCTAAACCCTAAACCCTAAACCCCCTGAGACCCCCAAGAAAGGGCAGGAGCTTGGGGCTTGCAAGGTTGGGCTTGAGGGGCCTGCAAGCACCTCCATCGCCATGGACGACGCCAAGAAAGCCAAGGAGGATCCTCTGGCGGTGGCTCGGGCTGAAGATTTGGGGGCCGGCTCTGAAACACCTGAGCCCTGAGCCCTGAAACCTGCACCCTAAGCCCTATAAACCCTAAACCCTGAACCTTAAACCCTAAACCCGAAACCCTGAACCCTGAACCCTGTACCCTGAACCCTAAACCCTAAATCCTGAACCCTGAACCCTGAAACCTGAGCCCTGCCAGCCGGTTGGTTTATGGGGTTTGGGGCTTCGGTGCTTCGGCCGTGCCCTGGACCACAAGCGCCCGCCGCCCGAAAGAGCTGAGGAAGTCAAAGCATTGCTGGACCGGTGGCTCGGATTGCTTATGGTAGTTATAAGTGAGCTTAATTCAGGTCCGGAAACCCAAAACCCTAACCCTAAACCCTAAGGGAAACGGGTGGGAAAAAGAAACCCTAAGGGTTGTTACCATCAGCTAGGCAGTTGGCAAAAAACAATCCTAAACCCTCCTGATAGTTGAAGGCCCATGATCCTTTCAATAGAGGGCCGGAGGCATGGTGGTTTAGGGTTTAGGCTTCTGGTCTTAGATCATCAGAGTGCCTCGGGTCGAAAAAGGGGTTTGTTGTTTAGAGTTGAGGGTTTAAGATTTAGCGTTCGCAGGCCTGATACCAGGGATGAGATCGGGCTCAATAAAGGGTGCCTTGGACGTGAATGCACCATGTACTTTCTGACCCTTGCAGAGATGAGGCAGATGCGTGGTCAGCCCTACGATCGCTTTGACAAGCTGTATGAAGGCCGATGGCCCCACCCCGCAGAGAATCTGCAAGAGTCCTGCGGGCCCCCACTTGTCCGAAAACGACAGGATGGCCCATCGGCCAGCTGTGGGATGCTGTAGGGCGGGGATGATCGCAGTGTACACATATGGGTAATTCCCAAAATAGGGGTACCCCTTCTATACCCCACATAGAGCAGAATCCCCTTCAAGTGACTTTACAAAGGGTACCCCTATAAAGAAAAGCCGCCGCCTTCATTGCAGGCGAGGACTTCGCGGACGCGCTCTTTACTGAGCTGGTGCCCTGGGGCAAGGATCAGACCTTCACCGGACTGACCCACGGCACCCCGAGCCCTTCCGGCATTCTGGGGTGCAGCATGTCGGGGTTTGGGTCGAGCAAAAGGGGGTCTCGGGTTAGGTTCCTATAGTCCTGAATAGGGATTATAGTACCCCCCCCCCCCGATCACAATCCCCATGAAGGACCGTTGGTATGAGGGGCACATCACAAGTTTAGGTTTTCTTCTGGCCTCCGCCTATGCCGCTGAAAATTGACATCCTGAGCCCTGAGCCCCGCTACTTGAAAAACTTGGAGGATCGGGGGGCTTAATGGGCAAGTTGGAAGCCCGGCGTGGCGAGAGTTTGCTGAAGGAGGGGAGCACCCTGACCTGTCAGATCTGAGGAAGGGCGCGCACACGCCGCATGGGTGGGGCTGCCTGCCTGACTCAAGCGGAAGATTCCAGGGTTCAGGGTTCAGGATGCAAGATGCGCGGGTTCAAAAACAATTCAGGATGCAAGATTGTTTTTTTAAATGGCTGGGGTCGCCTGGCAGCAATGTGGCCCAGCTGTAAAAAGGGGTTATGGCTGCATTTAGGATGAGCCCTCAGCCTGGCGGGGGAGGGATTCTGGGATAGGGAGCTGAGATCAAGCTGCAGGGCACTAAAGGAGCCTAATCATCAGATTTTACCATGTAAACCCTTCTATGCTAGCTTAGCACAAGCTCCTGAAGAAGAACCGGGCATTGCATATGACACTGCCAGACGCCGGGGCCCCCCTCCCCCACCCTCTCCTCCCCCCATTCTGCCCCACCCTCCTATAGCCCCCCTTAGGAATTTTGTCTTTTATGTGTATTCAAAGCCCAAGAGAATATTAAACAAGTTCATTCCTATAAAGGTTCTAAGGGGAGTAGAGCCTACATCAACAACTCCTCTCTGACAGAGGTGCCGCCGCCTCGCTCCAACACTCCTTAAAAGCGCAGTCGAATGGATCCTTCGAGGTGTGCTCGAGCATCACGAGGGCTTCATACAGGCCTGCTCTGTGTGGTTCGCCACCCGGCTGCAACCGGCTGCATGGATATGCGTGCATATGGATGTAGCCTGGAAGGGCCCGCGAAAACCCGTGAGACTTCGCTTGCTATGAGCAACGCCCCCTGTTCGGGTGTGTGGCTTGCGGAGCAGTGAAAAGTCTTGGACTAAGAAATGCGGAAAACTGGTGGGGGTGGGTGCGGGCTCCGTCGCAACAGTGTCGCAACTCGAGATGAGGATGGTGCGGCCGACGGGCCCGGCATGTGGGCAAGCACAATGGGTGGCAAGGAACAGTGCCCCAGCCACAGAATTGGCTTGTTTTTTCCCCTAAAATACCCTTAGTGGAACCCCAAGGGTCCTTGTCCCCAACGAAGATTTCTGGGGTGCGAGTTCTGTGGTTGTTTTGGGATGTCAGGATGGGGTGGCGAAGGCTCTGAATCCTGCCTGCCATGCCTTCATACCGAGCCTAAACTTAAAACCAATTGCCACAGAATGCCCCGTGAAACCCGAGGTGCGGGTATGGTACCTGGGTGCAGGCCCAGCGTACCTGCCGTGCATCCCGCGTGGCCAATGCAGGGTTGAGGGCACCTCAGAGAGCCCGCGGGTTCAAAAAGGGTTTGGGTTTAGGGCTTAGGGTTTAGGGCTTAGGGTTTAGGGTTTAGGGTTTAAGGCTTAGGGCTTAGGGTTTCGGGTTTAGGGTTTACAGCAGTGATGGGGGAGGATATCCCTTGTCTTGCCATGCAGGGGAAGCGGCATGGCTACTTCGCCCTCATCAAGGAAGGTCGCCGTCCTCGAGTAGCGTCAGCTGCAGCTGCGTCAGCCCTAAACTTTAAACTCTAAGCCTTAAAGCCTGCACCCTAAGCCCTAAAAAGACAACCCAAACTCTAAACCTTCAAGACTGGTCCTTTGCGACAGGGTTTAGGATTTAGGGTGCAAGGAGTCCAGTTGCAAAAAGGGTGCAGGGTTTTGAACCTTTGTGCAGGTGGCACTTACATCGAGGAGTACAACAGCGGTGAGCTGGTGCGGCGCATCAAGTGGAGGAAGGGCCCACACTCCCCAAAGCCTAAACCCTAAGCCCTAAACCCTAAACCCGAAATCCTCAACCCTAAACCCTAAACCCTGGGTGCATAAAAAACATGCCGAGCCTTGTGTGGCCAATCCCCAGGGTACGAGGTTTGGTATGTGGCGGCTGCATGATTGCCCCTGTGACTGAGCATCTGAGTTCTGTTTCTGTCTCAATCCTCCCGAAGTTGTTGCCCTGTGGTGTGGCTTGTCTGCTTGGCGGGGGGCAAAAAACTAAATCGCCTAAGCCCCAAACCCTAAACCCTAAACCCCAAAACCCTAAACCCAAAACCCTAAACCCTAAACCCTCAACCCTGTTTTCTGTTTTCATGATATAAAAAGACAAAGGGCCACAAAAACAGAACAAAAACCAAAGCCATCACAGACCCGAGAAAGAAACAAATACAAAGAAAGACCAACCAGCATCAATCCATCGGACAACTCCTCAGCGCAAACCTGATAGCCGCTTTGCTAGACCGCGGGGGGGGGGGGGGGGGGGCCCAGAGACTCCAAAACCCCTAAATTAAGGAATATATCTTAAATCGTATTAGGGTTCCTATTAATTATAATTTAAGGTATATTCCTTAATTAAGGGGTTTTGGAGTCTCTGGGTTTGGTGAGACATCTCACGGCGCAGGAAGGACAAACTCCATGTCAAGTGCGCCCGATGCGGAGAGGGCCAGCATTGGGAGAGCTTTTCTGGCTGGTTCTTAGTCGGGAATGAGGGAATATCCATCCTGTTTATACCCTTTAAGGGATTATGCAGGGTACCTCATTCCCCCATTCACTACTAAGAACCAGCCAGGCTTTTCTGTATAAATAGATGTTCTTTGTTTCATTTTTTGGAAACTTATACAG